CACAGTCCCTGTATCTCTCCCAAACATCTCCATCCTTATCACTCTCCCAATTTTCAGCCACCTTCACTTCAAATGCCTTCCTCACCTCTGCATCCTGCAACTTCCATGTCTTTCTCTTTGCCACAAACTTATCCTTCTTCCTCCTCCCCATTTCTTTTGATGTCACATCCATCACAACCATACTATGCTGCAACATACCAGGTATCGCCTTCACATTCTTCACATACTTCCTATGTTTGGCCCTTACCAATATATAGTCGATCATCGATCTATGTTCCCCTGACCTATAAGTAATCAATCGCGCTGGATATAATATTATGTAACCGTTTACAAATGTCAATTTTTTATAGAATGTTGTTTCTATTTGTCTTTTTTTTCTTTTGTTTATTTTGCAATCCCCTATTATCGCTTTTCATCGCTTTTAAATCTGCTTTCTTTATAGCTCTAGCCCACTGAAATTAGTAGATTTACTATTAATTGAAAAGTATGTCTAACGATGACGATGAAAATAATGTTGAACATCATTTCAATGCACTCTTAGTGTTTCCGCCTGAAGTTCAGGAAGCCATTAGTCAAGTATAAAATCTTTTTTTTTTCTTTTTTTAATCTTAATGATTATGATTATATAAATAATTATTTATAATAATAATAGGATATAGTAGAAAGTAGAGTTATAAAGTTTTATATTTATGCTAACGTGAACTGTCTTGTCATCACAAAAGTTGTTTTAATTTTAGTTGTCAGTGTCATAAGACTAAGACACTAAGAGTGAATGAATTTCTTTATAAAAATTGCTTGGGAATGGATTCATTATGTCTTGATGATAATAACGATAATAATACTAATTGACTAATTACTTACTAATGAAAAATAACTTGAGTTGCTTTTGAATATTTCATGGCAAAAAGTTTTTGGTCAAATTCCTCTTATTCTTATGTATTATAATAGTCATTCAAAAACATTCATTTAAATTTTAATTTTTTAATTAAATAATAATATTAATATTTTTTTCAGGTCATTCCAAGTAGTGACAGCTTGGACAAACTTGACTTTGATGTTGTTGAATACATCAACACATTGTTCCCCACTGAACAGTCACTGTCAACTATTGATGACGTCATTGACAGAGTTAAATTGAAAATAAAGTAACTTTTCTGTTTTAAAATTTTATTTCAATTTGTATATATTTGTTAAAATTAATTTACTACTTTTTGGCTCCTACAAATAAATTCCTTGTAGTATTATTTAAAAAGAAATTTTAAAATAAACTAATTAACTTAAAAAGCTATGACTAATAAATACTAAAATTTAAAGAAACCTAGATGATGACATTGGTTCTGTAGTGAGAGGGCAATCAAACGTGGCAGAGGATGGAAGAAATTCTCTTGAGGCTGCCCAGAAAACCATTTTTCAGTTGTTTGCTCAAATCAGAGACATCAAAGATAAAGCCGAGAGATCAGAAACCATGGTTTTTAATATTTTTTTTCAATTTGCTTTTTCATTTTTATTGAAAATTAAGCATGAAACATCTAACAATTTTAACCAACTGTTAAATATTTTGCATAATTCAAACTTTGCACCTAATGTTTTTAACTTGTGACCAGGTGAAAGAAATAACACGAGATATAAAGCAGTTGGACCATGCCAAGCGCAACTTAACGACATCCATCACAACTCTCAACCACCTACACATGCTTGTTGGAGGGGTCGACTCCATAGAGTTTGTTTTCATTTCATTTGCTGTTTGTTAGTTTTTGTTTTATTTTGTTACTTTTCTATCTATTTATTCATTTTCAATTTTTCTTCATTCACAAGATTACAGGTTTTGTTCATTTGTTGATTTATGTTAAAGAAAATTTATAACAAAAATTTTGTTTTCAAAGTTTTATATCCTTTGGTGGATACTGAGCTGTTTGTAATAGTTTTTCTTTGGCAGATTAACCTCCTATTCAGTTATCAAAACTGGCACTTCTAACAGGAAACAATTTTGAAATATTTGAGCAACCTTTTCAAGTATCATCAACTCAACATGCCACTAAACACAATAACAGTCTACATTATTTTGTATTTAAGGGCTCTGATGGTCAATCGGCAATATAATGAAATAGCAAATCTGTTGGAAGGAGTGGGCAACGTGTTGGAACAGTTTGAAAATTACAAAAGCATTCCACAGATCAATCTTCTTGCGGAAAGGTTGTGGATGGATGTTGTAATTGTTAATAACATACAAGTTGATGACGTTAGGGTTTTTTGTTGGACTTTGACCATTTGGTATTAAAATGTTTCGAAAATTTTTGGTGAATTTTGGTGAATAGCTTTATATTAAGAAGAAATTTTTGAAATGGTTAAAGAATAATCAAAAAATGTTGAACTTTTATAATAAATAAAATGCTAAGTTTGCATGTTAAAAGTCTCAATTTTTATCATCATGTTTATAATGGCAATGATAATTTTTTGAAACAGAGTCGCTGCTATAAAAAGTGATTTAGCTGCCCAAATTAAAGCTGATTTTGAAGAAACCTTCCAAGGATCTAATTCCAAGGTTTTTACAAAAATTTTCAAAAAAAAAAAATGTTTATATTTTGTTCAGCATTTTCATTCTCTGTTTTGTAGTGTTTGTTTTTTCTGCAAATAAGAAATTAAAAAATTTGAACTGCCAAGCAGCATGGCCACTTGGATCAATCTTTGTTAGCCGAGGCATGCTTTGTAGTTAATGTCCTGGATCCCAAGGTCAAAATGAATCTTTTGAACTGGTTCATCAAGCATCAGCTCATGGAATATCTCGTTCTTTTTGCCGATGACCAAGAGGTTACATGTTGATTAACATTTACGATTCAGCCTCCAACAACTGCTCTTACCTTTTCTTTCCAGAAAATTATTTTTCAAAAATTAAATTCTGTTAATTTTCACCTTCTTTATAGTTTTGATTCAAATATTTAAGCAACTGTAAAAATTTTTATTAATGATCGCTTTTTTTGACTTCCATCGTAATTAATTTATTGTTAATTTTGCAGCAACATCAATTAAATTATTGATCCACATTTCACGAACCTCCTACTATAACCACAGGAGGCCTGGCTGGACAAGATTGATCATCGATATTCCTGGCTAAAAAAAAATTTAATGGAGTTTGAAGAGAAGATGGGTCGAATGTTTCCGCCCTCGTGGGAGGTATCTGAGAGGATCTGCATTGAATTTTGTAATGTTACTAGGTATGTGTGCCATGTGTGTGTGAACGTTGGGTTTGCTTGTTTGTATGTTAAGCTGGAGGTCATTTGTTTGTTTGTTAGAATCATGGAGTGTATTGATGAAAGGTTGACGTTGAATTTATATTTTAGTTTAGTTGTGTTAAGTTTGCTTGCCGAGATTTTTATTTTAGTATATTTTATATGCTACTTTTTTGTAAGTTAAAAATACAAATGGTAGTCAATACAAAATTGTTTCACTAATTAACATTTTTCAATCTTTTCTTCCTTTTGATAAAAATAATATCTGTAAAATAAAGTTAACTCAGATAAGGTGATTCTTTTCTATTTGTTACCATTTCTGTTCAAAAACTCATAAAAGCTTGTAATTAAAATAATTTAATTTAATTTACACGAATGTTGTAATTGCTTATTAATTTGTTCACAGAAAGCAGTTGACCAATTTGATGGCTCGTCGCGTGTCTAGCATAGATGTGAAATTGTTACTCTATGCCATACAAAGAACTATGAACTTTGAGTCACTTTGTGCAAAAAGGTTTTCAGGAAGAACTTTACTTGCTGAAAAAGTTATTCATTTTGCATTATTTGTGGATGTTGTTTGTTGATGAACATTACCTCATGGGAAGCTATTGCAGGGACTTACTTTGTTTTCTAGATCAAACTCATTTAAGCGATTAATATTTCTTAATTATAAATGGAGTGACCTAATGAGACGTAATGAATGCCGTTTGTCTATTAAATTTTGAAGCAAAATTAATTTGAACGTGTTGGTTAAAGATAAATATGCAGACAACAAATTAGAGATATAATCAATTTGCCGGCATTATCTTCATTTAATATGTGATTATTATGCAGACATCATCAACGACGTTACCCGCAATAACACCTCCTCAATCAACTCCTATCACCACTAACCCTTTTGAGATGGATTCAAAAGCAGAAGTCGTCCAAACACAGTCTTCAAAAACAGATGTATTTATAGCCTTCTTTTGTTTTTTTTTTCATTTGTGAAGTTGCATTTTAAATTAATGTGAAATATGAAGCAAACTAGATGCTTTACATTTTTTTGAAATATGTAGTAGAGTTGGAATTGAATAAAATTTAACTTTCAGTCGACGAGGCAGGAACCAGTTTCTCCATTCCTGGGCATCATCCTCAAATGTTTCGAGCCACATTTGAATATTTACATAGAATCGCAAGACAGGTTTGCTTTTTGTTTTGTTTCTTACATGAAATCATTTTATATCATTTTCATTCACTCAGTGACTCAAGTGATTTTAATATGATATCTCATAAACCATGTCACACCAGGAACTTATCTGACATGATAGAGAGGTTTGTCGAAGATTTCAACAAGCTGAGGACTTCCAACAACATGAACCAGGATGCATCATTGAGAGCTCAGGATAGCAACATACTTTCAAGTTGTGCTGATTTGTTTGTCTACTATAAAAAGTGTATGATCCAGTGCTTCCAATTATCAACTGGACAGCCAATGGTCCTGCTAACTAGAACTTTCCAGAAATATTTGAAAGAATATGCATTTAGAGTTCTTACCAGTAATTTACCGAAGTCTGTTCTAAATTTTTTAATTTATTTCAATGTTAGACCCACCTTTTGATTTCAAAACGCAGATTAACAAAACAGGAAACACTTGGTGGCTCGCTGGTTCGGTTTTCCAAACATGAGGCAACCATTGCCTCTGCTAGTAGCCTCATTCAAAGCATTCTCAAGGTTAGCTGCTCGGTTTCCAGCTATTAACTCATACTATTAGCAAATGTTTGTTATTGACTTGTATGTTTTCACTATGGAAACAATTTTTATACTAAAACTAATCAAATTGTGACTTGATTATAAAAAATATTTGAAATTATTGAAAATATTTAAGGCAGCCACTAACAGGTGTCAATATTTGTTTTAGGAGGGAAATGAGCTGGTGAAGTTAACGGAGGTTGAGCAGTCTCGCATCTGCAGCATCCTGTGTACGGCTGAGTACTGCATGGAAACGACCCAGCAACTTGAAGATAAACTCAAAGAGAAGGTTCTGCCTTTTGTAATATTTCACCGTCGTTTTAAAAAATTTAATTTCTTACATGTTTGTTCCCTGGTTTGATGGCTCTTAATATTTGCACGATGAAAATATAACATCTAAAAAAAATAACTTATAGTTCTATTTTGTTATCAAACAAGTTGCGAGAAAGAAAATGTTTTTTAATTTGAAACTTTTATGTAAATTTAAATTTTTAAATTGATTATTTAATATAAAAAACTTTACAAAAAATAGAGCTACTATAAAGTTAAATAATGATAAGTCAATACATATCCTTACATTTTTTTATTCTAGTGCGGAAAAAAATATTAGATACTTTTGTAATTGGTATGAAATTTTAAGTTCTACAATATGTTTACATTGTTGTCATGTTTAAAGTGGGACTACGTGACGAATTCTTTTTTATCTTTAATATTTTTTAGTTTGGTTTCATTTTCTCACTGTTTTGAGATTGTCCTAATATTAAATAGTTACGATTACGTTAACATTTAGAGATGTGTGTTAGAAAACCGTTAAGTCTTCATAGAAGATCTCGGTTTTCAATAGGGATGCACCGAAGTTCGGCCCCGGCTCCGGCCAAAATCCGGCTTTTTTTCAAATCCGGCTCCGGCCGGATTTGGTGGCCGGATTTAGGGCCGGATTTAAGCGTCTATCTATTTTAAAAATGTTATAAATAGAAAAAAAATTTATTGAATTCAATTAATTTTATGTCAATAAGTTAAAGGCTAAGGCTAAGCTAAAGGCATACATGACACATAATAACAACATCACTAATTGTGAGGCAATCTGGACAATTTTCTTTATGCTATAACATGGGTTATGCATAAATTATAAGCTGATCTTTGTGTAAAAGAACTTGTGCACGTGTATATACTATATATTGATAATTGCACATGACGGATCATATAGCTGTATAATATATATATATATATATATATATATATATATATATATATATATATATATATTATAAAGATATATATATTGAGAGAGAGAGAGAGAGAGAGAGAGAGAGAGAGAGAGAGAGAGAGAGAGATACATAAGCACATAATTTAAGAACATGGTATGTTAAAGGTTAGGCTAAGTATACATGACACATAATTACAACATCACTAATTGTGCGGTGAGCTGGACAATTTTCTTTGTGCTTTAACTTGGGTTATGCAAACATGCATAAATTATAAGCTGATCTTTGTGTACAGAATTCGGCGTATCACACAACTTATTTATATATTTGAATTAAATAACTATTTGCTTGGTGTTATTTTTTGATGTTCAACATGTAGATATGTAAATGTGAGTATTTTTTCTAACATATGTAAAATGGTAACTAAAATCCGGCCCCGACCGGTTTTTGAATTTTAAATCCGGCCAAGTCCGGCCCCGGCCGGATTTGAAAAACCTGAATCCGGTGCATCCCTAGTTTTCAATGATGAAAAATAATGAGCAGCATCAATAAAATTAAAGTTGTCTATGGATTGTTTGCAGGTTAATGCAGACCTGGTCGATAGGATTGATTTGCACGCTGAACAGAACCTCTTTCACGGGTTCGTCTCTCGTTCAATTGACTGTTTGCTTACTAATGTACACGCGAGTATGTGTTGAATTTAATTGGAATTTTGTTATTTATCTCGTCACCTTTAACGTGGTCAACAATTTGTTTTGATATTACCATTGTTTGAACACTTCTGTAAATTATATTCGTTTGTGACTGGTATGATTATTTTCGTTTCGTGTATGTTTTCAATTAGAGTCATAACGAGTTGCATTCAACTTCTCGTGCAAGATTTGGAGGGTGCTTGTGATCCTGCGTTGACTGCTATGTCCAAAGTTTGTTAGCCACGACTTTTATATCAATAACACATTAGAGAATATTTATCATATTTTCCATTCCTTTAGTTGAAAATGTTTTCATTAAAAATATTGACTAAAAATTTCAATTGTTCATTTTTTTTCTTGTTTGTTTTTTTGTTGTTTGTTTGAAAAAGTAATTGATTTTATCAAATTGTACTTTCTCGAAACGAACATAGGTTTCTAAATGTAGAATTAAAATGTAAACAAACTCAGACCAAAGTTTTGACGATGGCAATTTTTTTTAATTGATATGCACTGCACGCACATCAGCGATCTATGTTTTATTGGCGCACTTGCAGTTAGCGTGGCAGAACATAGAGTCTGTTGGCGATCAGAGCAGTTATGTGAACGCCATCATCAACCACCTCAAGAGCAACATCATTGTAATTGGGCAGAATCTTCAGTCGTCCAGAAAGTACTTCACTCAGTTCTGCATCAAATTTGCCACGTGAGTTCCTTTTCAGTTATCAGAGATTGTTCTGCGTTTAAACAATTGAAAAATTTTGGCTTATGATAATAAAATGGTTTGCGAAAATGAATGAATGTTACTGCTCTCATATTAAATTTTTGTCTGCTCCACAAATCCCATTTGACTTTTAATGTTCAATTCTGGTCATTAGTCATCTGAATAATAGTTTGCTTAGGTATTCAACCATGTTATATTCTGTTTCTGTGTTATTATTTTTATAGTAATTGAACTCATTGAATCAAGTTAGTGAAAATGAAGCTTCACTTTTTCAAAAAATAAGCCTGCTGGTACAAAAGTAATATTATAAAATCTTTTTTGGAGTGACATTTTGATTTAATGATATTGCTGGTGACTAATATTTTTGTTTCTGTTTGATAGGTCGTACAAAATTAAGTATCATAACAACTACAAAATATATAATTATATATATATGTTTGTAACTGAACTAAAAATCAGATATTGGGACCGAACTGATGATTATTTTCTACTATTTTGCTTTTTGATCCTTTTTATATTATCAAAGTTTATGATCTCGTTAACGCCCAAGTCGGAGATCCGTCCTCAGTGTTGGACACATGTGTCTCATAACCTTAATCATAAAGTTTTTGCATTATTGTGATGAGGACCGTGTTTTAATTACATGGTAAAAAGATGTTGGTTGTGATTGCTCAAGTTTTTTAAATTTCTTACAAACTAGTCACCTAGGGCAGATCTTCGAATTACAAATATGTAATAGGATTGAATTCAAGGTTTTGTTGTTGATTCGTTATTTTAATATGCAAATTATGATGACAACCCTTAAATACTGTCAGTCGTTTTTTAAGTATGTAGCCTGACTTGTAACATTTTTTGTAATTAGTGTTTGTAGTTTTTTTTTTTACAAATAAACTGTCATTCCTATGATCATATTAACAACATTTTTTTTTATTTCGTTTTAGTTCATTCATTCAAAAGTTCGTGAATGCACTTTTCAAATGCAAACCAATCAGCACCGTGGGAGCAGAACAGGTTTGGAGTACTTTTTTTCTTCAAACACATCAATATGTAATATAAAATACAGAAAACTTATCAATAAATTTATCAATAAATTAGTTATTTCGTGAACTAGAGATTTGTGTTCCATTCGAGTTTCTGTTGGATAACTGTAACTGCATGATTTAATGATTTTTGATGTGTGTTTGTCGGAAGTTAGATATTGTTCAAATGTAACACTGAGTTAATAGATCTTGACATTGGTAATTGCTTGCTTCTTGCCGCTGTAACCAAATCTCGCAATGAGTCGGATAGAGTGAAGTGAATTCTTGATTATTATTGATAAATTATCTACTTCTTTTCCCGTAAATATTGTTCTGAGTATCTTCCATCTCTGGTTAGAATATTTAATAGCTACTTTAAACTGGTTTTAAGTCAAAGGTGATGTCAATACTTTTAGAATATTGCCTTTATCTACATTGTCAGATGACTTTTATCGTAGTACCTATTCATTTTTAATAATATTCTGCAGTGGCAGTTATAGCTATTTTTTGTAGTCAATTGTATTTTAACTCAATATTTTCGATTGTTACTTTGTAAAAACTCCACTGATTCAACGAATTTTATGAACTTTGATGTATTAAAATGATTCCATTTTTTCGTTTTAGTATTCCCCTCTACCACTCAAACATCTTGGAAGGAATTTTTAGTAGCATATTTTGGATGGACTACAAACTCTCAGTTTCTTCCAAACTGCGTTCACTTCTATTGGTCTGTCTTTTAAGAAAACGACTTTGATGGGGCTTTGCCAAATAATTCACTTTAATCTTTAGATTGCTTTGGACTTTTGGCTGTTGCTTAATTATGGTTAACTGAGATTCAGAAATAAAGTCCTCTAAGTGACAAAGGATATTTAATCAGGTAGTGTTTTGAAAATCATCTTAATTGAATTGACTCTGATAACAAATAAATAGTATACAAAATTAAATATTTGAAAGAAATGACATTTCAAATTACAATGAAAATATAAAAGAATATTATTCTTCATAATTTTAAGTAATTATTTAACAAATAATTAAAGTTTAAAAAGTATCGAGATGCACATTAATATTGTACTATATTTACATGCAATGACACATTTTGAAATATTTTTATATTTTATTAAAAAAAAACCATTTAAAAATACGATTTTTATTGTTTCATTTGAATTTATTTTCTACGATTAAATAGCTTTAATTTAATAACTAATTCCATAACTAACGCAGTTAGTTCAGCGATTGCGAAAGATGGCCATTTTTTTTGACAGATAAATATTTTATTCAGTTTTTCGATTAAAAATTTTATTTTTTATTAACCTAGCTACTGTTAGACACTCATTCGCTAAAAATGATTCTTCAAGAACTTCCGTCTAAAGGCTTGCAAGATGAGAGGCAAGCTCCAGCCAGGTTCAACTCCTCATTTCTTTTTACTATCTGATCTTTTATTCTCGACAAAATTTTGGAAGTTCTAAATATATTTATTAAGGTTATTTGTATTACTCTTTTTAATAATTTTTAAACAATTTTGGCCAGTTATACAAAAATTGTTGTGAAAGGGATGACAAGGGCAGAAATGATTCTCAAGGTTCTTTCATTTGCGTTGTAATTTTCAATTTTAAGGTTTTACCAACTCAATAACTTTCAAATAATTCAATTAATTCGACAAGTTAAAGTAAGAACGTTAATTGCAAAAACATAGTCACAGTAAAATAATCTCTCGTTAGGTGGTTATGTCTCCATATGAACCTTTAAATGCATTTGTGGACAACTACATAAAACTACTGCCCGAAAGTGACACCACCGAACTTCAGAAAATTCTCGACATGAAGGTTTTTCTTTTAAATATAATTATAACCTAAGATGAAATAACTAGTAAATGCCTATTGTTCCAGATTAAACCTTTGTAACTATAGATTGCCTAATTAAATTCTACCGTAACGTTGGACAACTTAATTATAAATAGGGGCTGAAAAGAACTGATCAAAACGTGGTCATGGACACATACAGATCGAAAGCTCCTCTTTTAACGACAGCAACGTCAGCCACGACATCGGAGGCAGACAAACGAAAACAATTGTTATCCAATGTAGATCACGAGAGCGGCAGGATAAAGAAACTAGAAAAATTAATCAAAAAACGATTCTGAGTTATTGACAATAGTACCTTATTATTATATATCATATTATCACACTGCCATTGTTAATAAAATTATTAATAGTATTTGCATGTTTCTTATCGCTTTTTTTTCAATATATCATCCCTATAGTTATCATTGAAAGTTCATATATATTTTACATACCGTACTTATGATCAATGATTGAACCAGTTGATAATGTTAGTTTTTTCTGCCACCGTATTCGGTTTAGCCTTGAAACATTCCAGTTGAAATGATTATTTTGTCTCACGTAAGAACTTTATATTCTTTAGGTTTAAACGTTAAAACTATCATAATTTTCGATAGAGTTAAATGTGAAAACAATTTTGTGTCAGTTTCCAGCAACACAGCTGAACGTATGATGTACCTAATAGGCTAATGAAAATTCAAAACCATAAACTGGGATACACACACGTCAAAAGAACAAGAAATATATTGTCACATTATAAATTCTACTTCGTTTTGGATAATTTTGTATTAATAATAATAATAATGTCATTTATGAGCGCCCTATGCATAGCGTCAGAGGCACCCGGAACACTTCATTTCTGTGAAACAAAATGAATGACTTGAATCTAGCTCTATACTGCTTAACTCGTATTTAAATTTAAAAATATAGGCAACAAACGCGTTGGGCATGTGAATAACTGTTCATTTAATTTTATAAAAACATTTCGCAAATTAATCTGGTGAATGAAAATGTTTAAAAGTAGTTAGCTAGTAGTTAACTACTAGGTAGAAGTTAATAACTACTGTAAGTAAAAATAGTTGAGAAATAGTTATTAACTATTTTTTAAACCAAGTAGTTAATTATGGTAGTTAACTACATTTTTTGAGTAGTTAACACAGCACTGTGCATTTCCGTTTTAGGTAATAAATGTAATTTTAAAATTTCGTATCAGATGATTCAATAAGAGCGATGGAACTATCAGAAAACAGAATGAAATTGAATTGTAATAAAACTAAACATGAAAACCTAGTTTTTGTTCAACCATACGATAACGACAAAACCCTTATTACAATGGTAAAAAAGAATTTTCGGCCATTAAATAGGTCAGATTTCTATTTCATAGCCAGGGCGGATCGTTAATTTGCTCAACGATGGCACCAAGCACCCAGAAACTACAAACCGAATCGAGGAGAAAATTTGATATTGTTGTTTAAAGCTCCGACCTTTGAATATGGAAAACACGACGCATAGTGAAGACTCATGAAGAAAAAGATGAAACAAATTGCAAATGTAAATCATTAAATGTTTTGATAAAAATAAAAATTCAATTTTTTTTATAATGTACAAATATTTGTAGTTGAAAGTAAGGTTTAAATAAATAATGATCACAAGTGACAGAAGTTACAAAATAAAAATAAAAAAGAAAACTACGTTACATAAAATCGTTCGTTAATAATTAATAATGGGGATTTAAAAACGAACTAAATATCATGAAGATAAATTTTAAAAAGTATTGTTGAAAGATGCGGAAATATTCAACAATAGTTAACTTAAAATTAATAATAGTCACTAAGTGAAAGGAAAGAAATGAAAATTCAATTGCTTAAGATAATACTTTAAAAAGCTGCAATATAGAGAAAAGATGGAAGATAACAAGTAGTAAATCTATCAGAGATATTTGTTGTTTCTCAACGAGTTCTGAATACATTTAAGATTTTTCAACAGATCTGTGTTTTTTGGCCTTGCGACATTGGGATGTAAAAACTTGTCTGCCTTGTTGCTAGCCACAGGAATTGTATCCGTAATTTCCAGCTTGAAACTACCTGGCTCACGTCTAATTGTGGCAGATTTAGTTGGAATTTTGTGACTTCCCTGTTTAAAATAAATATTTTTTTGGCAATTAACAACTTTGAAGTAACGCGCAAAGCAAGCATTAATAGCACACTGTGGTGATATATAGAAACGAAGTTTCCTCACAAGACGAATATTCACAGTTGGTCATGACTTTTGAAAAGTTTAATTTAAATATCTTATCGTGATGTAGAGTAGATGATATTGAGGCTGTTCTGGGATATTTTCATCTTATTTACAAGATCATGAAATATTCTTGCCAAGCATGATGTGTGAAGAAACTGTTGAAAATGAAGTAAAGTATATTGAAGTTCTTGTTGGCAATGTTACCAGCAAGATTACAAAACATTCACGCAATGCAGGATGCATGAAGAAGCTGTTGAAAATGAGCGAGCCTTCAGTGAATTTTCAAGCGAGAAAAAACAGAATTTGTTGCAGAATTTGTGTCAAGTGATTTTAGGGTAAGTTCCAAACACCACCGACAACCAACAATACGGTATATGTACTTAGAAAGGGGCACGACAAATATTATTCATTCAAACATAGTCGCCATCTTCGAAAATTAACTCGCCACTATAAGCAGCATTACACAGTCAAAGTTCAGTATCGCGATTTATATAATCTGCATATTTTTATCTATCGTTAGTACAAGCTGCCATATTTCGAAGTAAAGTACCATTACTGTCATAAACATTTTAAGGAAAAATCTTTTTGCAGTCACAACTTTCACCTGCACTGCATCGAGGACTGGTTCGACCAGGATCCATCTTGTGAAAGAAAGGCGTCGATTAGCATTGAATTTACGATCGAATGAAGATGCATGATATATGTCAAGGTTAAAATGTACATTAAGACGTGCGACGAATAAGTTTTCTCTTTTGACGAAAACTGTTTTTTCTTTCAGCAAAAGACATAAAAATTTCAACTTGATATTAAAATCATTAGTCTAAAAATATTTTATTTTTTTGTCGTAAAATTGCAAATATTTTAATTAATCGATTTAATTTTTAGCGCACTAACAATAAAGTTGAAGATTTCAATCAAAATGAATTAAGTGAAAAATATTTCTACAACACTTTTTATGTAATAGTTCGACAAAATGTTGCAGTAGTGATTTTGATGCTACTTTATCATTTAAATAGCGATAGTGAGTAGCGTTAACAACCCTGATAAATACAGGAAACTATTTAAACCAGCGCTCCTAAAACTTTTTGGTTCCGCGAACCGGCAACGAATTTAACAGGAACGTCGCGGACCGCCAAACGCCAACCTGACCGCGGACCACAACTTTGAGAAGCACTGATTTAAACGTTAATAAGCATACCACTTAAGAGCCTAATAAAAACAATGTGACTAACAGACTGCACATTATTTAACTTTATAGAGTTCCTTTTTCAACATACCACAGCTCAGTTTTTGTCTCCTATTTGAATTCTGCAAGTTACTATGCTAAGTCAACTTTCCTGCATAGTTAAAATAATTCTGCGCAGGCAGTTGTAATATACAAAAAACATAAATAGCCATGAGATAACAAATCGACATAATGATAGTGAGGTATTTTGGCTCCAAAAAATCAAGTTAATGATTCTGTACTTGGCGCATAAAAACTCAGTTTAAAATACGTTGCAATTAGCTACAATAAGAACAAACTGTGGAATAGGTGAGAATGACGAAGTGATGACTTAAACAAAACCGAAACTATAGAGCATCTTGATACTTTCACAAAATAATACATTTTTCTGCCAAGAGTACATTTAAAAAAATATTAGGGTGTTTTAGATTGCAAAGATAAAAACAAAACATTATGAGTTAAAATTAAAACAAAAATCTAGAAAGTTAAAAGTATTGAGTCAATTTGAAATCACAAATGAAGATGTTAATTAGAACAGTTAAGCAAATGACAAGTTGAGATAAACCACGTAGAAGAAGATTATGAGAAGTATGTCATAATAAAAAAGATTGGAGATGTTGAACACTTTGTTTATAAATTAATGACAATGACAAATTTTGACAAACCTGTGTTTGAATTTGCAAGATTTGATTGTACTTATCATCTATCTCCTTTTCAATATGTGTAATTTGTAGTTCAGCATCTTTCTTGGAAGCTTCACTTGACGATGCAACCCAGATGAGTTGGACCAGTTTGTTGCGTTTCCTTCAAATATTTAATATAACAAATTTAAATAAAACTGCTTACGAAGTACAATTCTATAACGTTTAACTATTGCAGATAATTAGTAGAGTTAATGAGTCTGTAACAGCCATTGAGACAATTTGGTGTGCAAAGGATGAGCTGACTGTACATCGTCGGAATGCTCATTCAATGAAAGTTTATTACTACATCATACAACCGTTCACTAACAATTTCAAATGCATGATTTCACTAGTGAGTTGGGATACAAGGACAGTTGATGAAAATTCCTCATCCAAAGCCTGAGTGTCATTGGGAACATTAACATGAGCGTTGGGAATTCGTAATGATGATCTAACCGGAAATTTGTAGTGACAGGATTGATGAATGGAAGAGTTTGGAGGAGAGTTGGTGTTATTTTTATAACAGTCACAGCTTCTATGGCACGATGTGTTGATGGTTTTACCGCAAATTTTTAAATTATTGAACTTCATCAATGATAAAACTTCTTGAAAGTTAGTCGTAAGAGAATGACTTTTGCCAGTCGACTGAAAATTATTAAACAAAACCTGGCTCATTCACAGCACATATTAAATATTTATAGAGTGAAAAAAGTTTGTGAGTAACCAAAAGCCATTTGAAATGATCAACAAGTAACAAATAGAAAACAAAATTAAATTAACAAGTTCTAGCTAAAATTCAAGGTCAAAGTTATTAAATTGACCGGGCCAGATAAAAATGAGATGAGCGGTTTAAATCTAGAAAGTTTAATAATATTTTTGAAAGGAACTTCCGTTCAACCTAATATACTAATATACATTGAGTAAAAATCAAAGACAATTAGTGGGAAAATTAGCAAAAGTAAAGCAGATAACATAGTAATACACAGACTTTTCCAGCTATAAAAGGTATCTCAGTGAAGTCGAGCTTGTACTCGTTGCTGGAATTTTTAATTTTGACGTTCGGATCATGTGGTTTATCACGAACCACTGAATGACTTACATACTCCACGTCGTCATTATAACCATTACCATTGTTCATCATATCAACTATTTCGTTACGCTTTCTCGTTGTTTTTCTTTTGATTTTCTTCATAAATTACAAAATATTATTAAAATATTGAATAAATTTATATTTAAATGAAAAAAATAACCTTGCTTTTAATAGTTTTATTCAAATAAATATCATTTGAAATTGTATCATCACGGTTTGAATCATCCTTTAATTTCTCTTCAAGTTCAAGTATTTTTTTCTGTTTAAAAATTTTTTTTTCTCTAAATAATTATTTTCCTTAAAATTATTTAAAAGCCTCATATAATTATATTAGACATATTTAAGTTATGTGGTCATTATGAGAAATCTCTAGCCATCATCCTATGGTTGGCAAAAAATTTAAATACGATTTTATAGAGAAAGGGATGGATCTGGCAAGTTGTGCATAGATGAGGAGGAAAAAGCTCAGGTGTGGAAAGCTTATATGGAAAGGTTGATGAATGAAGAGAATGAGTGGGATGGAGATGTGGAATCCGCGGTCACACACGGACCTATAGAGAAGGTGACGATGGAGGAAGTAGAGAAAGCAGAGAAATGAAACTAGGTAAGGCGACAGGGGTTTCGGAAGTGGCGGCAGAACATATAAAAGCGAGTGGGGTGATAGGAATTGAAGTTATGATGAGAATTGCTAACAATATGTTTGATGATGAAGGTATACCTGAGGATTGGCGACACAGTGTGTTGGTGCCGTTGTATAAGGGCAAAGGAGATGTGAGAGATTGTGGGTCATATAGGGGTGTGAAATTACTAGAGCACGGAATGAAGGTAGTGGAGAGGGTGCTTGAGAGGAGGTTGAGAAGTATGGTGACAGTTAATGAAATGCAGTGTGGGTTTATGCCTGGTAGGGGAACGGTGGATGCGTTGTTCATGGTGAGAATGTTGCAGGAGAATTATAGAAAGAAGAAACAAAGATTGTACATGTGTTTTGTGGATCTAGAAAAGGCTTTTGATCAAGTACCGAGGAAGGTCATTGAATGGGCGTTGAGGAAGAAAGGAGTGAATGAGAGACTTGTTAAAGCTGTGATGCAGCTGTATGAAGGGGCAAAGACAAAGGTGAGGGTTGGAAGGGTGATGTCGGACGCTTTTAGTGTTAAGGTAGGAGTGCATCAAGGATCAGTGTTATCACCGTTTCTGTTTGCAATTGTGATGGATGTTGTGTGTGGAAACATAATGGAGGGGTTGTTATTTGAGATTTTGTATGCAGATGATTTAGTCTTGATGGCTGATAGCATGGAAGAATTGCAGTTAAAATTTGACAGATGGAAAAGTGTTATTGAAAAGAAAGGGTTAAAAGTTAATATTGGTAAGACGAAGGTAATGGTGAGTGGGGAAGGTGGGGAGCGAGTGATAAGTAAAATAGACCCCTGTGGGGTATGTGACAGGAGAGTGAAGGCTAACTCGGTGTTGTGTATAGGATGTCAGAAATGGGTGCATAAGAGATGTAGTGGTTTGAGGGGGGCACTGAAAAAGGTGGAAGGCACGTTCAAATTTAAGAAATGTGTTCATGGTGTGATTAATAGGACGGACGCAAGGACGGGGTTGAGTGGTGGTATTGAAAGAGTGGAAAGCTTTGTTTACTTAGGGGATAAGCTGAATGCGGATGGAGGATGTTTGAGCGCAGTTACGGCTAGAGTTCGTGTGGGATGGATGAAATTTAGGGAACTGGGTGGGGTATTGTGTGGAAAGAAATGGTCAGTGAAGATGAAAGGGAGGGTATATAAAGCATGTGTGAGAGCAGCGATGGTATATGGTGGTGAAACTTGGGTGTTGAGGAGAGAGGAGGAAAGTGTACTGCAGAGGGCTGAAAGAGCTATGGTGAGGATGATGTGTGGGGGTTAAAGTGAAGGATAAGAGGAGTAGTACAGAGCTGATGTCAATGATGGGACTGAATGAGGACATTGTGACATTGATAAGGAGATCGAGATTGCGGTGGTATGGACATGTGTTGAGAAGGGATGAAAGGGTCGGGATTAGGCGAGCGTTGGAGTTCGAGGTTGACGGAGTGGTAGGAAGGGGTCGTCCGCGATTGGGATGGAGAGAGCAGGTCGAGAAGGACAGGGTGAAAGCGGAGTTGCGTGATACTGAGGCGAGTGACAGATGTGGATGGCGTCGAGGGGTATTTCGGTTTCATCATAGGTAGCCAAACGGCAACCTCCGATCTCGGGGAAAATGCCGTCTAAACGTGTGTTGTTGTTTTATAGAGAAAAGCACAGCTTGCTTGCATCATTTAAACTAGCCAGGGCAGATCTCAGATCCAAACCATACCAAGTCAAATTTTATATCAGCAAATAAAAAAGAATACAGGAGCCAAAAAAGCATGTGGTTCATCATCATATCTGCGTTGCAGCTGAGACTAAATTGGTTTATGATTGGTTTACTAACTTGACATATTTACACATGAACGTACCTGAACACTACCTGAATGCACATTTATTTTGATGTTCTGTCCTTTAGCAGGCTTAATAAAATCATGTAGCAGCTTAAGTCTAGTAGGCAAGTTCAACGAACACGTTTTGTAGTTATTTGAACATGTATGTTATAGCTCATTTAATTTAATCATAAATATATTTAACAATTTTTTATTGAATTTTTAAATAATTTACAAAGTTTTTACATGATATATTTTATTAAATAATGAATTAAAATATTTCAATATTATTTTCGGATTATCAACATGTAATCTATTCGGTTAGTTAGTATGTATTCGGTTTTTAAATTTGTGGTTGTTGAAAATGGTTTACAAGTGTTCAGTATATGGATGTCGAAGCGGCTATAAATAACCTTCAAAAACCCGATGTTTGCATCCACAAGTAAGTGAACTCAGCAGAGGGCTGCCGCGCCTTACCAAGGCAAGTCAGGGACATAGTGACAAGGAACTTCGTATCTATTAACTCAACCAAATGTTGTACGTGTTCACAACAGTAAAATTAATTAAATGTATGACGCCTCAAATTAATAAAATGCCATGTGAGTCTATTCTGTTCTAAATATTTTCATTCTCAGCCATCTCTTGTCATCTTATTGTTCAAAACTTCCTCCACTAAACAGTTTTCAATTCACTCTTGTTTTCTTCTTACCAATTTACTTTCTATATTTTGTTTTTTTCACTACTATTCTTACTTAAATTTTTATATATCTTTATTCAAATTTATGCTTCTGAAATTTTAATTTCTTACTGGCAACATCACTGCATAGTCAAACCTGATTGAATAACAAATGAATATGAATTTTGTTTTCAAGAAATAAATTAGTTTTAACAACATGGCAAAAAGTGTTTTTATATCATTTCTAATTACCTTGGCAATGTTGTGGGCGAGAGTTAATTTGAGATTATCCAAATCAGTTTTACTTATATTATTGAATCCACAATCTTTATAAATGACATCTCTTTTCTGAGAAGTGGCTGAGTTTGGTGGTTTCATGTGGTTCAGATCACCAATTCGATGTTCTAGTTCACGACACTTTTGCTCAGTTGAAATCAGTTGTTTTTCATATTCTGATTAATTTTTTTGATTTATCGCAAAAAACAGAATAAAACAAAATTTTAAAATTATCAAACTAACCTAAACTTTTATTTTTTAGTTCTTCAATCATCTTATCGGAGATAATTCTTGAGCTTTTGTGTGATTTTGAACATTTCAATATTTTTATGTAATGTTTCAGTTCGTTTAAAGCGATCATTATTTCTGAAACAAAACAAAAATTTTCTTTTATAAAATTGTATCATAAAAGTACAATGAAAGTTATTAACAAAAATTCATTCATTCATTTTTTGACCACTTTTCAACACTTAACATAAGAGATAAAAAAATAAATTGCAATAGGGGAGGATGATTTTAAAAATTCTAGAGTGATGACTTTTTTCGCCAATTCCTTTTTTTGCGTGGAGGATGGTTTTAAAAATTTCACGTTGTGATGTTTTTCGGCGCGCGTTTATGAATGAATGTTTCATGTGCGTGTGTTGGTTGGTTTGGCGCGCTTGTTAATGTTTGTCTGGTATGCATGCTGGTAAAACGTTGTATAAACTGGTTTTGTATGCATACTGGTGGAATGTTATGTGAATGGGTTTTATGTGAATAGTATGGCGAGAGTAAAGTGAGTATATTTGAGAGTGAATGGTTGCTTGTGTGAATTAATAATAAGCATTTTAGACAATTGTTTTTTAGGCAGTTTTTCGGTTAGTTTTTCAAAGTTAGTTTTCGAGTTAGTTTTTAGTAGAGTGTTTGGTGTAGTTTTTGGAAGTAGTTCGGTCCCTGGCGTGTTAGGTATTGGTCATTTGGGTAATTGGTGATATTGTTCTGCGGGTTTATTTTTCTGAATTTAATTACTGTGTTCTGTTGCTGTTTTAATTTAGTTTATTATTTAGTTTGGAACATTTTGGAAACATTTAGTTTGTAGAGTAAGTTTATTTTCGTTCTTGTTTGTAATAAATTTATATCAGTTAGCTTTTGTTTGACTTGTTCAACATATAAAACATGTATGAGGAAGACTTGTTAGCAATGAATAAGACCGGATTGATCGACTGGCAAGCAGGGCGCAAAAACACTTTTCTGACCCGGAGATAAACCTTTGTGAGGAGGCGAGTCGCGGCCAAAAGCGACACTGCCTAGGCTGGCGGCGACGTTTGCTGGTATTCGAACAGAAAAAAGTTTCTGCCGCGCAGCAAAAATTCACAATGCTAATGACCTTTTTGTCTTTTTTTACATAGAATCTTCAACAAAGGAACTACTCATAACAATGCCGATGCTTTCTCTCGCCGACCTTGCTCACCGGGATGTAAAAATTGTTGTCGACTAAAGGAGAAGATACAACAGGAGAACGTGCAGATGATCAAAGTAACAGCTGACAAAGGGTGGACTCCACCAGAACTCGCTAGCGCCCTAGCTACTGATGAAGATTTACAACATCTCATCTTGTGGAAAAAATCAGGTCAAAAACCAAATTGGCAAGACGTATCCAATAACAGCGCGACAGTGAAAGGATATTGGGCTCAATGGGATTCATTGCATATAGAAGGGCTTCTTAAAAGAAGATGGGAATCAGCGGACGGGTCAAGACATCTTATGCAAATAGTTTTACCCAGAGCCAAGACAACCAAAATTCTCGAAGAAATGCACGGGGGATCATCAGGTGAACATCTTGGCGTTAACAAGACACTGGTTAAAGTGCAAGAAAAATGTTATTGGCTGTACGCTCGGGAGGACGTAGAAAAATGGTGTCGAAATTCGTGGACCTATGCAAGCCTACAATGTGGGCGTACCGTTTAAAAGAATAGCAATCGACATTGTGGGACCCTTTCCCGAAATGGACAAAGGCAATTGCTACATTCTGATGGTAGCAGATTACTCATTAAGTGGGTCACAAAAATTTAATTGGGACTGCTTCAAGCAGCTCTTTAGGTAGGTCTCCTGTGAATCCTGGTGCACATTTAATCATAGTGAATTAGTGAACAACTTGGTAATAATGTACAGTTGGCCAACGTTTTTTTTTTATATATTTTTTTAAATTGGGATATTTTAAAAAGAACTTTAAATTAAAAACCATTCCTGAATAATATTATGAATATATAAAATTATTAATTTTTAATTTATATTAGATTGAATACATAAAAAAGCTAATTTTTTTTATTATTCTTTAAAAATCAGGATCTGACAGATGCAGAAACTGTTAAAGCATGCAAGGCAGTAGTACAAAATTAAACAAATAAGTAAGTAAATAAATACAAAAACAGAGAAAGAAAAATGTTAAAACATGAAAAATAAAATAAAATAGAATAAAATAAATAATAATAATGAAATAAATAAATGAAAAGAAATGGACAATAAAATATAAAATGAAGTAGTGGCATAAAAACACAAATTAATAAACTAGATGATGACTTAGTGAGTTAGTGATGTGATCGATAAATAAAAACTAGTTCTGTGATTGATAAAGTTTTAATGAGTATTAATATGTTTGAGTTGTCTTGTGATGAAAGTCTTTTCACTCACATTATTACATATTGTTTAGATTAAATTAAAGAAAATTGTGTTTCTGTGAAAAGTAAGCCAAATACCACGCACGTTAATAAACATCTCAAGTCAGCCACCATATTTTATTATATTGTTGCAATGTACCGCATTATTTTAATACATATTATGAATAATTATTCAATTATATTATAATAAATATTGTTGATAAAATTAAGAAAAATTGTTTTCATGAGAAATCAGCCTAATATTCCATATGTTAATAAACATCTCATGTCAGCCACAATATTTTGTGATAATGTCTCGATGGACCGCATTACTTTATCATAATTTTTGATCAAATAAATATGATATTCAATTATATTATAACAATTTGTTTTGATTAAACTAAAAAAAATTGTTTCGCATTATGATGTATTCACATACATTATAATCGGCATGCAAGTCAGCCAACTGTGAGCCAGCCAATTAATAATTATTATTAATCTAACCCTACTAAGGCCTAACTAAGTTAGGCCCTAACTAAATTATACAATGGCAATTAATAAATTAAATCATAATATAAATGAAATGTGATAATTAATAATGATAATCATTACTCATTCTTTTTACTATTTTCAATTTATTCATCATCTTTTTTTTAAGATTAATTTTTTACATTTTTTAAATTTTATTTTATTTTTTTATTATTAAATTAAAATTTATCTGTGTTACTTTTCATTTTCATTTTATTTTTTGAAGAAAAAAACAAGCCCACCATCTTTACGACTTTCGGGAAAAACATCCTTGTAACTTTTATAAACCTTCTGCGACTCTACCACATCCATGCCAGCGTTCCAAGTTAAACTTCGGCCACAAAATTTAAAAAATTAACTTTGGCTCCGTGTTACAAATTTGAACTAAAATCAACTTTTGACTAAAAGAAAAACAAGAGATGAGCCGAATTATTTTGAAGATAATTGTAAATCTTATTCTATGTACATGATCAATGATCTTATTGCAAAAAATTAATAATAATTAAGGTTAAGTTTAGATTACTAAATTATATATATATAGTTTAGTGACGAATGATTTATGTATATAGTTCTGAGTTCAGTGGTTGGGACACAAGTGATAAAAAATCCCAAAATATGGTGATTCTGATAGAATTATCTCATGAATATATATCCATGAATTATCCATATACATAGAATACCAGTTATCAGTATATCACATTTAAAAAAATATTTTATCCGTAAAGAAATTCAAATTTCATGGGCGGATCCATGTGGGTGGGAGGGAGGGAATGCGGTGATGCATACTCACTAGATTACGACAGAGAAAAAATATTAAACATTTTTTAACATACTTTTAGGAATAAAATACCTTTTTTAGTGATTTATTCTTCTTCCTATCGTCGTGGGTGGTAACAATTCTGTGCAAAAAAATCAAGCGAAAAATAAAGCACCAGAGAAGCAAATTTCTGTGATGCGTGCTGATCTGTTTAACGACGAAGAGAGAGCAGCATTGACGCTACACATTCATCATGATTGATGCAGTGAGTTTCTTTCAATCAGCATGCAATCGGGAGATCGTCGAAGACAATGAATAAATACGATTCACTGAAGCTGAAGCAAAGGACTCCAGTTCAAACTTCAGTCAAGTATTTCTCCCAGCCCCAACGTGTAATTCATTGCAAGGTTTTGATAAATTGTAAATTATGACAGTAAGATCATAATTCGTGTGTTGTTTAATGGAGGAAAAATTTCAATCATACTAAAAATAAAAGTAATTTAAGTGAATAAAGATCCAACGACACCAATAAAATCTATATACTTTTTACATATTTTCAGTTTTTAAACAAATCTCTGCCCACCATTTTACACGGCACGATTGTGCGTTTGATAATCTGTTCACAAATTTCATGGAACGTACATGTATATATTTATTTATTTTATTTTCTTACATAATTTGCACTTTTATTGCTCATAATTTTATTACAATTATTTAACTAGTTAGAAACAATTTATAGTGAAATGTAAGCTTTAAAAATATATTTGATTGGTTGTTTGATTGAATATAACAAAGACAGCAGCCAGGTGGGATGGTACAAGTGAATAACCAGTTACTGAGGTATTCGAAACGTTCAAGAAAACAAATCCTTTCTCGATGCCGATGTTTAGATTGCTCTTTGTATCTGTCGTCAGTTTTCGCATTTAAATTGAAATACTTTTTAGCTTAGACATTTTTAATTTTAGTTGCTGTATAAAACTTTATAATGAAACATTAAAAAATTTAATACGCTCACAATTTTCAGAAGGATGAAAATTTTGCATATACGTGTAACGCGTTTCAATTCTATTTTCATAACGCTCAGCAACGCCTCTTCTGCATTTAACGAACACATCTTTACACTTATGCATTTACATAGGCACTCAAGCATATAACCGGCAGAACAAAAATTTCCTCCTAGTAAATGTTGACTCAACTACTGCCGTGTGGTTGAACGAAGCGTGATGTACAAAAAAAATCGAGTGACGATCAAACTAATTTTACCAAAATATTAAGATGGCATTTAATTTAAACACAATGCCAGACTACTGACGTTTATAAATTCGCACTGATGTGTCAAAAACGTTTAATTGATCTTTTATTAAACCACGTGACAACATAACATTTATTTTTGTTAAAGATAGAAGAATTTCTGTCATTTAAAAAACCCCAAACATTAATTATATCAAAACTTTAGCTCCGTGAAATAAAATGAATTCTAAGCATATTCAAGCACATTCATAGCCGCTTTGACCAGTCTCTAACAATTTCAACCAAGGCTCACATTATTAACTAGTTAAGTATGATAGATTTAATTTAACTGAAACAAACAGGTCCAACTTCAAAACCAAATTTTTGTCCAGACCTGGAGTAATCGGTCGGTTTGAAATCAACAATGGGTATTTGCTGAAGCCTGTGGCTCCTGATAGTGAAAACTGTTGATCCAGTTGAACCATTCTGCAAAGGAATAGTTAATATATTATACCTGTAAATTTTGACGGATTTTCACAAGTGATACATTTTTGAAAGGAGAATTATAAAAAATGATGAATAAATGATGAATAAATAAATACCTTGCATCCATCGACGACGGCACTGTCTCTCATTTTATCGGTTTTGATGATCGAATCATCAGCGCCGATGAATGAGATAGCTTTGTTTTTGTTCTTGGCTTCCTCACTGTACCAGGCAATGGAGTTTTTGCACAAATATGTAAACTGCTGGGATGATTTCTCGTGCAGCAACCGCAAAAACTGAAGTTGAGCATCGTTCTCAACATACTTGATCTTTGAACAAGAAAAAATTATAAATTCATCATGAAAACTCTTTTCATAAAAGTAAAAAAATACTGAAATAACTAAAAAATTAAAATTAAACATTCAATTAAATCGTACCATGAAACCATTTTCAAGGTGACTGAACCTTCCGGACGAAACTTCACTCCATGATTTTCTGCGCACCTTCATTAGAGAAAACATTGAATATGTTATCCACAATTTAAGGCAATAAAGTCAACGTTTTAAAATCGCAGTTACTAAGTTTAAAAAGTTAAAAACAAAAAATTGAGAGAATCTTCTAACTGATGAAGTATCTTTATCAGGGTGGAGGCAAGTTTGAACTTCACTTCCCGAGAAGTCACACCAGACTCTGATGGCGTCTGAAATGACTCCTTGATTTGGATCTATCCAATACCAGCCTGTTGTTATATTCAAAAATATATTAAAAATTGAAGTGAACGAACATACTTCAAGACAGCAATAAACAAATTAAAATATGAAAAAAACTGACCGCTCTGGAGAGTTGGGAATTCAAGATGGATGTCTCTGCAAGTAAGAGCTGGTGCTTCCTTGCTACCAATCGGTGCTAAAATTGTCGACATTTCTTTTTTTAGATTATCTAACTCACCGAAGATTTTCTCAACAACCTTCTCATGGTTGTTTTCACTTATAATTTTCTGGATCCATGTGTTTCTCGGTTTATCGGCGTGCATATCTTTACTTCTGACCGACCTTTTGCTTCTTCTGTTAACAAGTTCCTCCTCGTTGAATTTGGCTCCGGGTCTTCCCGGTGGACCCTTTCAAAATTTTATAAACAACTTTGAGGCATAGTTAAACAGATCAAATGAGTGCAATGACTGACTGCGTAGAATGAAAAATACGAGAATCAGTCTTAAGTGTGAAATTCTTACAGGGGGACCAGGCACGCCGGGAGATCCAGGCTGACCTTTGTGACCCTTCAATCCGCGACTTCCTTCTGGTCCCTGAAAAAAAATTGTTTCAATTAATGAACAACAAAGATCGTTCCATATAAATAATTTGTTTGAATTTTAAAAGTTTAACTAAACGGTCACAAAAACTAACTGGAGATCCTGCTGAACCTTCTGGTCCTGGAAGTCCTCGTGGTCCTTCTGGTCCCTGGCAATAATTTTCAAAAGTAGGTTCACATTTCGTCACTCATTTTAAAACGTAGAATGTGTTAAGTCTATCAAAATAAAAGCCATCGGGATCATATAGAAGACAGAATTGTTGGTTATTTCGATTGAATGGTACCAAATAGGAGCAATCGAGGAATAAGTCAGTACTAACAGCGTATCCTCTATCTCCTGGCGGTCCCTGAACTCCCATTTTACCACGTTCACCTTTCAATCCTTGCTCGCCTGTCAGACCAACTTGTCCAGGATCACCTCTGCTACCCTACAAAATTCAACAACATAAAATTAAGCAAAAATCTTTGAAAGCAAACTTTCTATGAAATGTTAAAAAACCGTTAACTAAAATTAATTGTGAATGAAACAGTAAAACATAGACGTAAAAAATTAATTAAATGGTCTTATCCATGACAAATTGCACAATGAACACAACACAAAATAATTGCGTTATTTGTCAAGAGTTACATAAAGAATTGTTATTAAAAAATTGTGAAGCACTAAAAAAAATTAAGATGGCACGACAAGGCACCAGATTTTTGAAAAATAACATTTGAAAGATTTGAATAAAATCAAAATAGTTTAATCAAATGCTATAAAGAGAAATAAAAAGATTAAAATTGAATTAACAGACTACCTTCTCAGCCTTTGGTCCAGCCTCTCCTTTGGGACCAGCGGGACCAGCAGGACCCTGAATGAATTAAAACAGTAATATGAAGCCATTGACGCTAGGAAGGTGGGACTCAATAGAAAGATGTCACCATTCAATAGAATGATGTCACCCCTAAGTAGAAAGATGGTACTCAGTACTTAGTTGAAGGACAATACTCAACAGAAGAATGAAAGAAGAAGAAACGAGAAGATGTTGCAACTCAAACAAAATTGGAGTAACAAATTTTGTAAATGTTTGTTTGGTAAGTAAAAATTCAAAAACTAACAGCAGCTCCTCTCTTTCCATTTGGTCCAGGGGCTCCAACAGGTCCGACATCGCCCTGTAAAGTTGTTCAAAAAACTTCAAATTCAACTCAAATTCTACTAACATACTCTGAAACAATATCCAATACAAAATGAAGAAAAATCACTTTTAATTATTAGGATTATAATTTTAACAATCAGTAGTTTACTACTTGAAAATTATTGAGTGATGAAAGAGATTTCAAATAGAACGAATAACTTACAGATTTTCCCGGAGCTCCACGAGGTCCCCTCAACCCAGTTCTTCCTGGAGCGCCCTGAATTTAATAAATTCCAAATGCACACATTGCTTGTAATAATTTTTACAATCTTTATGATAATTTGTTTTCCTTATACTTGCTAAAAAAAAATTAAAAAAAATATTTTTAACAATGATGCGAATACAAACAGTTTGTCCGTATGGGCCTCTTTCTCCTTGTGGTCCAAAAATGCCTCTTTCACCTTTGATTCCAGCGGGACCAGGCTCTCCTGGAGGCCCTGGAGGTCCAATGCGACCCTGCACACAGAAAAAAACAAAAAATAAAAACTCGTTACAACTTCAAATATATCTGTTCAATAATTTTATTAAGAAAGAAGTAATTGGGCGCATCATTTGATATTAGAGAAACTGCATAGTTTATATAACAAAATAATTTGTAAAAAAATAAAAAAGACAAACCTGCTTTCCTGGATTACCAACGTGACCCAATTCTCCCTGTGGTCCTTGGGGCCCCTAGTTCGTTTTTCATATTTTAGTGTATGAGTAAAAAAATAACTTAATTTAAAAAAAAGCAAAAACTGAGAAAAATAAATTTAAAAGTTACTTCTCTTCCAAGGTCTCCAATCTTTCCTTCTTTTCCTCTGGGACCAGCTTCACCCTGTGTTTAACACGACATAATGAGTCAAAACGGCATAATGAGTTAACAACGAATCCTTAACAGTCAATTTTGAAACAATAATTCAACATGTCATACTTTCGCTCCTGGAGTTCCTGGAGTGCCTGGATTGCCTTGAAATCCTATGTTTCCCTAGCAACAAATTTCATTTAATGAATTTCATTACAATAAACACCATAAATGTTTTAAAAGTTATTGTATTGTGATATTCAATTTTCACTCAACTACTACAAAATAACAATTTGGCTATTTATTTGAAAAACAATTTAATAATTTTATAAAACTTACAGCAAATCCCTTTGGTCCAGTAGGTCCAACTTTTCCGGGACTTCCAGCATTTCCTGGAGCTCCATGATTTCCCATGGCACCTTTGGTTCCTGCCGCACCTGGAGAGCCCTAAAGACGTGAAAAGCGTGAAAATAGTTTATTTTTAAAACAATTTAATGATCCGAAATAAAAAAAATACTATGATCTTTTGTCAAAAAAGTTAATCAAATTACAACTAGATAATAATCAGCTTGGCTGAATCAATACTATAGGACCTTAACAAGTCGTTCAAGCAGTTAAATACAACTCAGCAACAAATCATTTTGGTTAGAAAAAAGGCATAGCACACTAACTGGTTTTCCAGCTTTTCCAGGTGGACCTGTGGGCCCATCAACACCATTTTCTCCCTTGGCTCCTTGTCTTCCTTCAGCACCCAGGGATCCTGTTGGTCCTCTTCCACCCTTTTCATTAAATTTTATTAAATTTAAACCAGTTCTAATAACTAAAATTTAATAATGAAAAAATCTATCGAATGAAATTCATTAGGATATGTTTAGTCTCGTGAACGTTACCGCGATGGCAAACAATGCCGATGAACCTTAAATATTACATCTAAATTTTTTGAAATAAATTTATTTATCCTGCTATTTAACCTGCAAGTAGCAATGATAGTAAACTACTATTTTTATATCCTAACTCTTAGTAACTTGGAAGTGAAGATGTGAGATGAGATGGTATGAAATGTGATAAAACAAAACATTAAAAAAAATGAAATGAAACAAAATTATATGGAATGAACTGAGACAAAATGAGATGAGATAAAATGATAAAAACGGATTAAAAAAAAGAAGAAATAGAATGGAACGAATTGAGATGAGATGCAGCAACTCACAGGCAGTCCAGTCTCTCCTGGGGGACCAGCGGGCCCTGCAGGTCCTTGTGGGCCCTACAAGTATTATTATGTTTTTAAAATTATAAACCTTATTATAAGCAACAGCAACACATCATTGCAGTAATTGAAACAAATCATAATCTTGATCAATGAAATGAGTAATGAAGAAAATAATTGCCTACCTTGAGGCCAGTGTCTCCTATCTCTCCCTTGACCCCAGCAGCTCCAGGCAATCCTGGTTTTCCAGGATTTCCAATGGCACCCGGAAGTCCGCGTGATCCTTCAGGTCCCTGGGCAGATTTAATTTATGATGATTTCACTGACCGAATTGGGTCACCAGCTTTAGTGCTTAATATTAAATCATAGAGCAAATCTGAAAAAAGCTGGCTTGATTTTTGCATATGATGCCAGCCAAAACTAAAACGTGGTGTCTCTTTATCAATGCTATTAATAAAACTCATAAATCTTTATTTCAAAAATATAAAATATTAAATTGTTGTCTTAATGTATCTTTCAACAAAACATATTGCATGCAAGCCTAAAATGCGGTAGCGCAGCTAACCAACACCAAAATAACGGGAAAAAAGATGTTTGAAGAACCTGAGCACCGGGCAGACCTTGAAATCCCTTCTCTCCCGGCTCGCCAGCTGGACCCTGCAGTCGAATATAGAAATTATGAGTTTCAGAATGAAATTATGAACAACGAAAACATTCAGATGACAAATTTGATTCTTCTCTTTATAAACGTAGACCAAAAATTTGTGAAAACGAGAAACTGACCATTGACCCCGCCTGTCCTGGAGCTCCTGCGTTTCCATGAGGTCCAGGTGATCCCTAACAAATTTTATGACAATTAAGTATGTTCAACAAACGACAGATGATTTTATTTACCTTTCTACGTTAAAAAACTTAAATTAACTTCACAAAATACAAGTGTTGAAAGAATTATTCGAAACTCACAACTTCTCCAGGAATTCCTTTACTTCCCTTTTCTCCTTGCATACCCATGTCGCCCTGTCAAGTACCAATTTGTTGTGTAGGAATAAACTGCATTTAACTATCCCACAATAATCATCTTTTAAATTATCAAGTCGGTCAATAGATATCAAGCGCTAAAATCAGCTTTAAAGTTTTATTATTATAATAGATGTCTGAATGCAACACAAGAAAATAAATAAATGGAAAAATAGTTGTGAGCAAACCTTCTCTCCATCATCTCCTGGAAGTCCAACGGAACCAGGCAGCCCAACATCACCCTACAAACAAACAGCATTCAATGTAAGCTTTCATAAAATACAACCTTGTAACATTCTATTTTTATAATTTAACAACAATTTTTATGTAATAAATACTATGTATATGACAAAACAAAATTATCGCATGTCACAAAATGAAGCTTAAAATCTTTAAATTTATTTTAAAAAGGCCTCGAAGACGTCGACTAACTGTTTTTCCTCTTTCTCCTTGTTCGCCTTCAGCACCAGCCGGACCGACGATACCCTGATGAACAATTTAGAGGAATCAAATACAAGTAAGTATAGGATCAAATTTATAGCAAAAATATTATTGTCAGTATTTTCAGGTGTTATTCTTATCCACTGAAAAACAAGATTTTCTGAATGAAAACCTAATAAGATGAAAACAACATTTTCAAAAAATTATAAAAAAATCCTAGTAAGTTCCGTGTTAAATGAAACTTTTGATTATCATATTGCAAACTAAGTGTAGTTGATAGCCTACATTGTTACCTTATGATTGAATGTGATTTTGAGGCTTTAAATTAAAACTCAAATTTATAGACCATTAGAAAACATTCATTGATAAAATATGACAAAAACCATAACTTATTTGCAATGACTCTGAACATTAATAAAAAAATAGCGATTCGTTACTGGACAATACAGAACAATGTAGTGGAAGGATAAAACAAATCAATGGGGAAAATAATCTAACCTGAGCTCCTTTGGGTCCAGGAAGCCCGTGAGGTCCTGCAGCTCCTGGTCGGCCCTGGATGAAGTTCATGTCACCAGTTAGTTAGTTGGTTGGTCAGTTAGTTAGTTGGTTGGTTACCAGTTAGTTAGTTGGGATGCAATTGAGGTTTCAATACGAATATGATTGAAATGATAATGTATTAGTTGAACAGGAGAAAGCTGAGAGATGAAGGGTATGTGATGTAACATTTAAAATTAGATGGCTTGTTTGTTTGTTTAAAATTTGTTTTGTATTAGTTGTAAATAATAATAATAATGATAACATTACTACTATTACTACCAATAATAATAATAATAACAAAAACAATGGCAATAAAAATAAGCACAAAGCATCCTCACAACGACCTAAACTTCTCGCAAAACAATTGCATAACAAGCCTTAACAAACATTCATTCTTATCAACCAGCAGCAGCAGCAACAATGCCTGCCACCGTCGTAACTTTCATCAACTACTCACAGGCGAACCAGCTGCTCCGATGGCTCCTGGATTGCCAGATCCTCCTTTTGGACCCTGCGTAGTAGTTCAATAAAGTATGAACTCCATCATCATTTATCATTGAGAACATTAGATTCATTTCTATACTTATTGAAACAAAAGCTAAGGAGGAATGTAACTGAAAAAAGGTGTGAACTTACAGGACTTCCAGGCAATCCAGAAGGACCAGGATCACCACGAGCTCCATCAGCACCCTGTATCCAATTGCAACAAATTTATTAGTCAATCATTATAATTCAAAGTTGCAAAGACTTTGTGAACATTAAACATAACTTCTAGCACATAACGTTCAAGAAGGAGATAATTTTTTTTCAACTTACAGCTGGACCAGGTAAACCCGCCTCTCCTGGATGCCCTCTTGGACCCGTGGGTCCCAATGGACCAGATGGTCCCTGCACACCTGGAGAGCCCTAGATTTTAATTCAAAATAAGATTTTAATATTAATTTTAATTCAAAATATAAAATCTACCAATGAGATAAATCAGAAATGTACTATAGAAAGAAAGAATAAATAAACAATGAAACTGAAATAAGCAAAATTGTGAAACATACAGCAGGTCCTTCTTTTCCTTGCTCTCCAGCTGGTCCCTTTTCTCCTGCCGGTCCCTAAAGAAAATTTTTGTTAACTAACGTTTCATAATGAATCGTTTTAACACGTACATATACATAGTGAAAAATGTTTGCGTAAGAAAATGAAAAAAACTTACGGGCACGCCAATTCCACCTCTCTCTCCTGGTCCTCCCTGAGGCCCTGAAGGTCCCTGAAAATAAGAATGATGATTGTTTTTGATCACTTTGGCTCCATTTGTGAAGTAAACGTTCAATTATTTTTAATAAGGTAATAGTTGAATGATGTTAGATGAGAATGGTCTACGACTTACTGGATTTCCTGGTTGTCCAACAGCTCCTGGAAGACCTGGTGCTCCTGGCAGACCCTGAAAATGTAGTAAAAAAAAATTTTTGTGTAAACGCTCAGTAAATAAAAATAAATTACACTTCCACAACACTAATTTAAATATTTAAACACTAATTTAAATATAACTCACAGCCTCTCCTCTTTCTCCTGGAAATCCTGAAAGACCATCTTTTCCTGGATTTCCCTGGAAAACAAAAAAATTATAATCAGCCTAGTCATAAATGATCCCATTTAACATTCAATCAAATCTGAATCATAACTTACTAACTTACTACTAAAGTCGCGACAGCAGACACAAAACACATGTAATAGCAAATATTCAGGAGTTCATTCTTTACTACTAATACATGCAAAAGTGCGTTCCTTACTCATGATTGCATCACCCATTCAAATATTCAATTCTTACTCACGATTGCACCAGGTGCTCCGATGTGACCGACGGGTCCTGGATTTCCTGGGAGACCAATTTCTCCACGAAGACCCACTGGTCCAATCGGTCCCAAGTCTCCTTTTGGTCCAGGGGCCCCCATAACACCCGGTCGGCCTGCTGGTCCATCTGGTCCCTGAGGTGTTTTTAATTATTAATCACTCATGTTATCCATTATTAATTAGATCATGGATTAAGTAGTTTATTCAAAGACTTTCACGTCTAAAATATGGTAACATAATAGATAAAAATTAGTTATTTCCAAAAAATACGAATTTCTAAAATGACCCACTTTAGCTCCCTGTGCACCTCTTGCTCCTGCTGGTCCCGGAGCTCCCTGAATATGAAAAAATATGCCAAACGCGATTTAGAATATATCTCAAGGTCGATAGAAAAAATTGCAACAACTTACAGCTGATCCCTTGCTTCCCGTCTTTCCTACTTTTCCATTCATGCCACGTTGCCCCTGTTTTATTCGGCAGTTAAAAGGTTTAACATAGTTGAAAATTTAAAAAAAAATTATTAAAAATTTCAATTTATATTCTGTGAATTAATTTAAGATAAGTAGCTGCAAAGGATAGTGATGTTATAGTGAGAAGTTATTTGACAAACCTTTTCTCCAGTTTGACCCGGGTAGCCAGGGAAGCCAACGTTACCGGCCAAACCCTGTTTATGAAATCGTCAAAAAATATTAAGACATTTAAATACATATAAAATAATCATATAATGTGATATATCTGAATGAAACAAATGAAATAAAATAGAAAATGTGAACCTTTTCTCCTCTTGGGCCAGGTGGACCAACATCGCCCCTTGCTCCTATCTCACCCTAGTTTGGGAAAAGCAAATTGAAGCAGTTTAATAAACACATTCTAATAAAATGATATTTAAAACAATATTCAGTACACATTACTTTTCATATTTTTAAAGCTGATACTTTCCTACATAGAAAATAATTTGCATAAAATAAAGAAGAGTTCTGATAAAAACAAACCTTGAGTCCAACGGGTCCCTCCTCTCCCCTCGGTCCTGAATCTCCCTTCTCTCCTTTATCACCCTGTAGACCAGCTTCACCTTTCAGTCCATCTAAACCTGGCTGACCCTATTCATTTCATATTTAAATTAAAATACTTTTGACAAAATATTCGACCATATTGAAACATTTTGCCACAACTAATTAGAAGGATACTTAAAAACTTTTCGTACGCTACAGCCAATAAATTCTAGCAAGTTTAAACAATGAATATCGTTCCATTCAATGAACAAATGTGTCCTAAAAGCAAAATTATCAAAGCATTTACATGTAAACTGATATAATTACGCATGTTCACTACAGCGTATTGGTATGACGATGGAAGTGTTGAAACGATAACAAACCATAGTAAAGTATTAACATCTACATTGAATTGAGTGGGGGAAGTGAAATTAAAATTTGAATAGACTTGTAAAAGTTACTTACTCTGTCTCCTGGTTCTCCCTGCTGTCCTCTCAATCCAGCTTCTCCCTGAATGCATGTCGTACAATTCATTATTTATGCATGTCGTACCATTCATGTTAGCTTAAATCAAAGAACACTACCTGAACGACAATAAATTGAAATAAGAACCTTAGCTCCTTGTGGTCCCTGCACTCCCATCTCACCAGGTGCTCCAATGCCACCCTGAAACATTTTCACACATTTAATGATCAGACAACAGATTTTGAATAATTTATTTGGAGGCAAAAATTATTACAACTTACAGCGTCTCCCTTCTCTCCTGGCTCACCGGCTTTTCCTTGAGGTCCCTTTATGAATTGAAGAAAATTACGATAACAAATTAGTTAATATAACTAAATTCAACGGTTTAAATAAAAACACAGCTGCCTGCATGAAGTTCCATGTTTGCCACATTTACTATTTATGCTATTGATTACTTTGCTTGCAATATCATACAACACACGAAACATACTTTATGCAAAAACTCTGCTTAATAATTTCAAGGCTTATACAATTTTCATGTTTGCTCAAACATTGTTCAACTACTGAATGTTGATTTGGAAATTATTAAGTGCAAACAAAGAACAACAATAAAGTAATACACAACTCTGCAAATTTTTTGACCATGCATTAATGCAGTTTATTTTATGACGGACAACAGAAGCATTTAATTTCATAAAATGACGACAGCTCACCAAAGCACCTTCTTGACCAGGCAAACCAGGTAGTCCATTCTTTCCTGGACTTCCAGACACTCCTGGCGGTCCGATCGGTCCCGGAGCTCCAGGGGATCCCTAGATAGTGGAACATGAAATATAACAACTTGAAGTACATTGAAGCTTAATGAGTAGGAGGAGTAAAGTGTGAGATAATGGAAGGGGTAATCTTACGGGCTGTCCTGGCTGTCCAACTGCTCCAGGTCTTCCATAATCTCCTACATTACCCTGTTTAACAAAAAATGTGGAAGGTCATATACAAATTATTACAATTTAATAACATAAATTACATGAGTGTGAACAAATTTCACAATCATGACGAAAATTTTTTTGAAAAAATCATTTGCTTAACTCCACGAACACTCAACAGAATGTAAAATAATTAAAAACATTCATGAAACTTACAATGTTTCCCTTTGGACCAGGAGCTCCATCGTTACCTGGCAGACCCTTTAAAAATTTTATTAACTCATTCAATACATATCAATACATTTTACATAATTAAAATTTAGCCATTCAATTTGATATTTAAAATTAAAAACATTCAAAATAAATGAATTTAAAGTTTGTAATTGACATATAAGATATACTCACAACTGGTCCGGCTGGTCCAACTTGGCCTCTTGGACCATCAAATCCTCGAATACCCTGATGAATGCCACAACATTTCGTGCGTTATAGAGGACATAAATGCAAATTTGACAGAATATAACATTTTTATTTCTTCCAAGCATGAACAGATAAAAAGAATAAAATTTATTAATTAATCGTCATACATTTCAAATAGCTAAAAAATGATTTAATTGGGAAACTGCAAAAATGAACAAACGACGGTTGATACGAATGAAAAGAATATGTTACTTACAGGCTCACCTTCCAATCCAGATGGGCCTGGAGGGCCGGGCTCTCCCTGGAAATTTTTAAATATTTAAAAACTCAAACTTTTTGCAAAATTTTGAAAAACATTAAAAATATTATTAAAAAAAACTAATTTGTAGGGAAAAGATGATCGATGTGAAGAATGGACTACAGACAGACAGAGAACAACAATCAACTGACCTGATCGCCTTCAAGTCCATGATCACCTTGTGGCCCCGGTTGACCTGCCTCACCCTGTAATCATTTATTTATAATGCTTTTCAAATATCTGACATTTTTGATTGATTGAATACTGTTAGAGAAATAGCAATTAACTATTGCTCTATAAAATGGTGATGTTCAAAATTACTACAAAAAGTTTTACAAATGAAAAAAAAAAATTAAAAATTGTTTCAACATAAAAACTAATTAAATTTCATTTTTTTACATTTTCGGTTCTCTCTTAAATTTAAAATATTATTTTCGCGGTTGATAAGAAACAAGGAGGGTGAAAATAAATGATTGAAGAGAGCATGAAAGATTAACAATCAAAAAACCAACCTTGTCTCCTTTGTCTCCAATGGGTCCTTGCACGCCAGCCAATCCTGAGGCTCCCTAAATGACAAAGTTGACAAATTTGGATATTCATCACTTAATCAGGTGGTTAACAAATTATAATTACATGTTAACCATGCCATCATGCAGCAAATACGTTTAATTGATATGAAAAGCTCAAGTGAGAGAAGCAGGCAATGTACCTACCTTAATACCCGGAGCTCCAGGCATTCCTCTTACTCCATCTCGACCTGCTCTGCCCTGGAATAAAAAATATTACTGTTCATATTTAACATTTTTTATACAATAAGAAATAAAAATTGCATCGTGAAATTCGTTTGAGAAAGGAAGAAAAACAAAATGTGAATGATAGTTTTGAATATCTCAATAACAAATTTTACAATATGTTTGTGAAATTTAAAGAAAAATAATATATTTTAGTCAGTTAAGGTGATATGAGAAATTAAGTACTGAAATTAAGTAATAAATAGATGTTGAATAAATAAACTGATCAATTTTATTATAATGTTCTATACGTAAAGACAAAAAGCCTAAAAAGAAAATAAACATACTGGGGGTCCCAGAGGCCCTGGCGATCCTGGAGCACCTCTTGGTCCAATCAGACCCTGTCATTTAGAAAAGAATAGAATAAATTTGCAGCACAGGCAAAGCCTCTTGCCACCACAATGAAAGCAGTTTTTAAGAATAAATAATTCCATAATTAAAATATTTGGTTGAAAATGTTCAGTTTAACTTTACATTTTTTGGTTTGACATCTTTACTTCCATATGTAAAATTTACTCTGTGCCAAAATTTATCTAAGACTATCTTGAAGCTAGTAATGTTGACTGATTTGACTACATCTTCAGGTTGGCCATTCCAGTCATTCACAGTTGGTAAAGTTGTATTGTTTGACATCTTTTCTGCAAGTCCAATTAATAAACTTAATACAATTTCTTCTTGTTGCCATGGTAGATGCCCAGTCTGGTTTAACATTGACATCCAGCAGTCCATTAAGCAAATAATAAGTTAATATTATGTCTCCTCTACTGCATCTGTAAACCAGTGAAGACCGCCCTAAAATCTTTCACCTATCCTCGCATTATAATCCTCTGCATTGGAATGGTACTTTGGATGCTCGTTTCGGAACCCTTTTTAAGTGCTGAATATGGTATTTTCTAAATGAGTACCATGCAACCACACCATACTCCAGAATTGACCTTACCATAGATTTATAAAGAAGCAAAAAAGCTGCTATAGGTGCATTTTTGAAATTACATTTTAGCAAACTAACCATTCTGTTTGCTTTTCTAACAGTCTGAAAAATATGATTGTTGAAAATCAGCTTAAAGTCTAAAAGTATATCAAGATCCATAGTTTTTTCTGCCTCAGCTAGGGGCACCTCTACTCCTCCTTGTCCCATTAAACCATATGTTGAGTACTGCTTTTCACCTCTAATTTTTAGTACGAAACACTTGGAAGCATTTACTTTTAACCAACATCTCAAGAACCAATCACATTTAAATCCTTATTTTATTAACTCTGTCAGAATTAAATTATAAACCAACAAATGTTTAAAAATTAACACAATAATTTCTAAAACATTAAAGGACAAACAAGACACATTACTCACAATAGGTCCCCTCTCCCCTCTATCTCCCTTCTCTCCTGAATGTCCAATGATACCCTGGAGGAACAGAAATATTCATTTTTATAATTCTAATAAAAAACAATGAACCAAAAAATTGATAAAGACCCATTGTAAAGTTATATTAACATCTTGTTCAATAACTAAAACATGGTCAAAATGAGTTTCAACCTTTGGCCCAGTTTCACCAGTGAATCCTTGTGGTCCAGCAACTCCCTTTAGCGCCAACTGAAGAAATAAAATTATTGAAAATAAAAATTCTTGGACTCGTTTTTAAGTGAATTTTGAAAAAATTATTTTGAAAGAATTAAAAGTTCATCTAGTATGCTGTAAATAAAAATGAATGAGATAAAAAAAGGAACATTTACCAAGTGTTGATCTAACAAATTTCTCATGGACTGCAATTGGCCAGATGAACTTCTAGAGTCTGAAGCAAAATCAGGCTAGCAAATGAGAAAAAAAACTTCATTTTACAAGCTAATTCAATTGAATAATGAAAAATCCATTAAATTTATGTAAAAATAATTTAGAATATAAAATTAAATTTGAAAAAAAATTGGGCTAACCGAAATGACAAAGACAGATCCAGGTGCACCAATTGGACCAGGCAGACCTGGTGCTCCTGGCTTTCCTGGAGGTCCCTGAAAAATAATATCACAAGCAATATTAAAAATATGATATAAAACAACTCACAACAAACCATTGATAACACAAACTCAACACATCAATGCACAAAAAAATGATTGATAACATTAACTGAACACAACAACTTACAAGAAATGATTGATAACATACACCAGCACAACTAACCTTATCTCCCGGAAGGCCCTGATAGCCAGGTTCACCTACTCTGAGGTTTCTTCTGCGAGCACTTGAGTATGGATCAGCTGCCTTTCAAGAGAACATTAAAGAATACAACAAATAAATAATAATGAATAATCAATGTTAATTATTTTTTTTCAATATAGGTATCAAATAAAACTTAACTATAAGAATTTTGAAATTATTTACATAGAAACGTTGCAACATGCAACAACCAAATAAAATATTGTTAGGGGTAGATAATGATGAAAAAATATCGGAGGAGCATTTTACCTGATAGTAATCAGAAGTAATAGTACATTCTGGAGTGTATTCACATGTCGAGAATGCTGATCCGTCATTAGGAATGAAGACAAGTTGTTGGATGTCACCCTGACAATGAAAAAAATATACAATTCAGTGCTGTAAATCTACACAGTAAACTATTTCAACTTATTTGTTTATAAAAATTATCAATCTAATCAAAATTTCTCCAAATTTCATGAGCTAATATTGATTCAAAAAGATATTTTGAGTAAAAATCAAGAAAAACCTCCAAAACATCAGGAGAAACAGGATTGCTGAACAGATAGATGCGACCTTTAAAATCAAGTGCAGAGTCAGAACTTCTGTTGAGAGGAGCAGTATAGATGAACTTGCAATCCAAGTACAAAGTCACTATCTGGTCTTTGACAATTATACCAGCTTGATGCCACCTAGATAATTGAGTTTTTCATATTCTTAATACTTTATTATATATATATATATATATATTTTTACAATATTCTATAAATTCTATTACCAACATATATATATATGTATATATATATACATATATATATATATACATGTATATTTATCACATATACACATATAACATAAATTTCATTTATTTGTAAATTTTGTGAAAGTACATACAATTAGTTAAATCTATAGTTCATTAAAGCACATTTTAACCCTTTAAAAATTTCATGTTTTTGATCTCATTGATCAAATCATCTGCAAAATAACTTTTAACAACCTAATTACTTACATGCCATCCACTAGGTTGAATGAGAATTTTGGAGAAAATTCATATCCACCATCTCCTTTTTTGTCTTCATACAACAAAACAGTGCTGTTCAGAGCTACTTCAAGACCCAAAATGGGCTTTTCAAGCTTTTCATCAAGAATGGCAAACACAAAACCCTTGGCAGCCTTTTCAGTTGATGTCTTGAAGCTGGCAACAATTGAAAAGTCCTGGGGAAAATCCTCTAAGCGACAAATGTGTAACAAATTGAAATTACAATAAAAAACTAATAAGTAGTATATAGCTCAAAGTTTGTGAGATTATAAAATAAATTATACAAACTAAATCCTTCAATTTAAATAAATTAAAGTAAATATTAAAATATTAATTTAAATAAATTAAACCAAATTAAAACTAAAAACAAACATTCAAAGTTGAATTTTTACTAAGATTTTAATTAGTGAATTTACAAGATTCAATTTCAATGTATGTATAATGTATATTATATTTATATATAATTTTATAATATAAAATATTAATTTGTAAATAAAGGTGATTATTAGCGATAGATAGTGTGCTTACCAGTGAAAATATCAGCCGATTTGGCACTCAAAGAGGCAGCCCTGGTAATCTTGTAAGCCGCTCTGGGCTGGGAGTCAAGGACAGCTCCATAGGGAGACTTGCAGACACCATCAACTAACTTCACACCCTTGTTCTTGCTGGTGATATTGACAGCGTTTAAAATGTCAAGAGACCCTTAAATGTAAATTGTCCCGTAGTTTAACAATTTTATTTTTCAGTAATTATTTACCATATTAATGTATCTGTTAACTTTAATTTTAAATGTAAAGCTGAAACAAACGCCGCCCCAAACCAAAACACAGTGTTTTACACACAAGAGGTAGTATTATAATTTCTTTGCTAAAAATGCATTGGTTTAAACTTAAAGTTTATTCTATTGAATATGCATGTACGTACAAGCAGAAGAAAAGAAAAGGTTTGAGATGGTTTAATTTAATACGTTTCATAAAGTGTTTCTAGCTCATCTGCCAAATGCCAACCACGTTAATTTAGAAAATCAAAATGAAAATAATATTTTTCATATTTTATTGATGATATATTGGTTGGTTAGAGTAGAACATATATATATATATAGAACAAAACTTTCTCTACATATAGAAGGGTATTTTAAATAATGGAATTCTACATACGTGGGTTAGAATATTAAAAGATAAGAGATCTTATTGCTAGTTATCAGAGAAGTAGCAGTCATGGTGCAACATTATTGAGCAATAATGACAGCAGCAGTGGCGCTACTTTCTATTTTCGAAACTTAAATAATCTGCTATTTGCTACTTTTGAACTGACAGTAAATTTTGCCACTGGATTTCACGTAAGAAAAACAAAAATCTGGGGTTACATGTTAAACAACATCACTTTATTTCTGCATTCGTTTGTCGCGTCATCATCGCTCTTTTCTTGCAACTTAAGTTCTCACATCTCTGATATCAAAGATTAACAATCGATGTTTCGACATGATGACATTGTGATAGGCTATTTACAACGTGAAATACCTCAATAAATGTAACTTGCCATCAAACAATCAATTCGATGTTCAACAGCGCTCCTTCGTGAATTTGCAAGTCTTGAGATCCGCTCTGAACTTCGCAAGTGATGGAGAAGTAGTTAGAGAAGGAGGTAGAGAGTTCAAGAGAAAACGGCCAGAAAATCAAACGCATATAATGAACATTTATATAGCGCTTTTTGATAAACTCCCAAAACCGATCTTCAAAAATAGATGTGTGTGAGTGTGTGTGTGTGTGTGCTGTGCATGTGTGTAATTTGATAGCAGTAACAGTTGTTTATTAGATACAAGCCATTGTTTAATAGTAACAGACGTGGAATTTTTAGTGGTACTGTCCAATCGTATTCTTTTTACTATAAACTCAACTGGAAGCAGGAACGACAATGATGTCATACAACCAACTAATATATTTAGGGCAGAAAAATGCTAAACAATCGGTGAGAGATGAAATATAAAATAGAATAACGTCGTTGGCAGTGGCGGCACCACATTTTTTTGTTGTAGCAGAGTAACGTTTTTTTTTGCAGCCTTATCAATCCTAAAAATGCTTAAAAATTAGACTAGACCGAATTTTCGTTCATAATATTATAATTTTATGCCAAAATTAATTTAATAAGTGTGAACATATACTGACCTTTAGGGAAATTGTGGATATTAAAAGAAGAACCATAACATCCAGCAACTATTGCAACAAGTGCGACGTAAGTCACTAACCACCTAGCTGGTATTCGTGACATATCGCTCTTGAAGATAACCAGAATGCTCTCTTTTTATCTGCTCTTGTTGTTCCCTCTGTTGGGAAAATTATAAAACAATATATTACAATCACGAATTGTTGATTTTTTAGTTGGTTAATCCTTTCGTGGTTAATCCGTCATAAAGAAGACGCTATATCCATTAAAGCAAATAACCAAGGTTAAAAAGAATTATCAAATCAAACATGACGGGACAACAAAAATCAAAATTTTAGTAAAAATTTTGAAAATAAATATTTGAAAATTTATAAAATTAACAAAAAAAAATAAAAAAAGCCTTTTCATACATTCAATATAATTAAATAAGCATTCTGGTTTTCTAAAGTTTGATAGATCAGACAGGCCTTACGAGAGCAAGCTATCCAAGGGGGAGCTTGTTCTGCTGAGCACCAATCAGGCAAACCAGACATTCTGTAAGTCAATGATAATGTCTTAGCTTTTTAACTAAGTTACGTCTCATCACTTCATAGTTTAGTCTTTCCATATTGACACACATTAACTAATTTTCATATATCATATAATCCGTTACTTGTCTAATATACATGTGTTTATATATAATTATATAAATTCATACATATATGTATATATATATACATATATATATATTATATATATATATATATATATATATTAAATATTTATATACATATATATTAAAACGCCCGTGTTATACAAGTACTTATAACACTAGAGAAAAGTATAAAGTACATACATCTTCATGTAAAGTTGAACAATTGTATAAGCTGCTGCAGCTTAACTCAATCGTGTTGACGCTCTTTTATTCTTTTTGTTGTACGAGTGATGGCGTTTAAAAGAGTTTGCTTAAGTTTTCCTAAACATTTTGTACCCACTAAAAAATCATCCCTCAATATCTAAAAGATTTTTATATTGATGAAAATTAAAAAATATAATGTAATCAATAAGTCTTTATATTTAATTTATTTAACAACAACAACACTTGACAATATTTCTATGAGTATAAAGTTTTTTATAACCAATTTTTTATAATGAGCAATTTATATTTCACCGTATGACGTATTATGTAGTACACGGCGTTGGCATCTCATTAGTTAGTTGGGTGCGAAACACATGCTTGCTCCGTACACACGGAGATCATAGTTCACTAAACGAAATTTAAGAATGTTTTCACTTTCTCTGCGATTTTATGTAGCTAAACTTAATTGAGTATTTAAACAACCGAGATTAATATTATATTATAGATACTACAAACAAATTCGTTTGTCAGCAAGTTCACCTAATCTTTAAATTTCAAATGAACAACGATTCAATAATTGTTTTTTATTAACAGGATACATACTAATTACATTTTTATTCTTTTAATATATTTTCCCTTTTATAATCCATCCCATTTAAAATTAGTCTTTGGTCATTGTCATAACAACATATTTATAATTAAACATTTTAGACTAAACACTATACATTATTTAATTCTTTTTATATGCATTTATTTCGTTATGTCTTCATGTTCTAGCTGTTCTGATAGCAAAGTCACTTACACTGTTACCCAGTTGTTAAATAAACTAATCAAAAACCTCTGCCTTTATGATTTTCCGTGTGGTTACGGAAATTGGGTTGTTAGAACTGCTTCTAATAATGAAAATAATCTAATCTAATCTACACTCTCAATTTATTTATGTTTTTACTTTATTTTGTTTAATCATTTTTATATAACGTATTTAAAGCACTAATGAATACTATTATATTAACGAGTCGATAATTATTGAAATTTTTGTAGACGACGTTCTTTTCTTTAATTTTGTTTATGTAATTTTTCATTAAGATACACTGTAACGAGAAATCAGTTGATTTTCACAACAAAGGTTTGCGTATGCAATGACTAAAGTTATTATTATCTATGACCCTACACTAACATAAACCGCAGAGACGGCAGGTTGTTACGAGAAGGTTGACGACTTGTACGATTTCGTTAAATTCCCAAGATCGCCCTGGTGCACGTATTGTGAATGGAGCGAAGATGCTTATTATCTGAAACAACTGGCTGTTTTGCGACCTGCTCTTATAAATGAAAATTTCATTAAATGCTATTTTAAAACTTTAATTCTTAGAGATAAAAAAGTTTGTGTTTGGTTGAAAAAAAGGTTTGTTAGAATATAAAAAATAATACTGAAATTTACAACTTAGATATTCGAAATTGATCCGGATTTTGTACGGTTCAAAAATTTGAAAAAACTAATTTTGTCTGCTAACATAATTTCAAAACTTGACCCGAAATGCTTTAACCGAAAAATTCAGGTTAAAATTTGTTTCGCTAAAATTAAGACTTTTATAACAATTTGTTGTAAAAATGTGTATAAAGCATCTGGAGTGCTATGGTAATGAGATAAGCAACATCGAGGATTTCAGCAAACACCCACCTGCACTTTTCTATTTAGGGCTTGGCCACAACAAAATATCGACTATTAAAGACTGTTTTAATGCTCAATCATGGTTATTTTTTTCACAGTATTTTTAATTTACCAGTTTTTTCTTTTCTTTTTATATCCAAAACTAATGTTAGAAAAATAATTTTAGCGGTAACCCCCAGAAAATTAAACCGTTGTCACATCTAATTAATTTTAACAAATTAGTTTCATTATTGCCTTATTAAATTAATTTTCAGGCCCTGTTTGACTTCGTTGGATCTGTGTTTGAATGACCTGACAAACTTACCAGATTTGTGCAATCAGTTAAGTTCCTTGAGCGGTTTAAGAGTGTTGCTACTATATGGAAACCCTTTCAGTGTATTCATTTTTTTATCAAATTGTCACATGAGACAGCTTTCGGCAGTTAAGTTTAAGTAAAAACTATTTTTTAAAAGTTCATCCCGATTTATCGAAGATACGTTGTTGACACAATACCGTTGTTGAATTATTTGGACGATGCCGAAGTTACTGCTGAAGAAAAGTTGGCTTCACGTGGCCTGTGCTGCAGAAGTTGTAATGGTAAAATATTTAATTGTTCATATGATTGCTGTAGTCATTGATGATGTTTACATGCATTATTATATCATATATACAATGTGTCTTTTTTTAAAAACTAATTAACAGATTTGTTAAACGAGCGTGTCATTTTTTTTAAAACATAGTGTACAATAAATCACTGAAACATTTTTCACGTAATTTGTAATTCGTTAAAGATCCCGATTTTAAAAGATCCGAAATCAACTTGTTTATTTCCCACATAAACGGTCTCCCTCCTTCCACGGTGAGATATTCATTTCCACACAACCAGCATTTGTTCAAGCGATGTTAATTTTGTACCTTTTCTATAACAGAACTATTTCGAATCCACTGATGAGATTCTTCAACGCCAGTTTCGTGTGGAGTACAAATTTTTGAAAGGCGTCAGTAGGAAACAAACAACTGAACAACAAAACGATTTTTTTAAAGATTATCAATTTAACGCCAAAACTGAATCGGATGAGATAACCATTGATACTTACAAGACAAAACTTCACGACTGGGCAGAAATAGTTCAACTGAGAGAACTTAGAAAGTTTTTCTACCACGATTTGCGGGAGTTGAAGAAATTTCTCTGCGGACATCTTGAAATTTATATAATGGAAAAAAAGGTACGCTAATTCTGTAATAATATTAATAATAATATAACTACAAATAATAACAAAATAACAATTATGACTTTAGTGACGTGAGTGTTTAGCGCTATTCGTTAAGGCTTAGCATTGTGAGTTGGGCTATATTGAGGAGACTAGGGCATGTTGAACCAATTTTTAGTATTTAACTCATTAAATTTCTATTATTGCATTAAAACTTCATTATTACGTAAAAATATGTCTATTACGTATTTCAAAAAAATACATTCAATTCTAGCATGTTCCTTGACAATAGAAGGTTTTATTTGCAAGCCTGTCATGCGGTTCAACCTACCCCGTTCACGGGGCATATTGATCCAAACACTGGTACATGTTGAACCAGTATTTTATGACTTTGCTAAGCAAGTTTATTGCCATAAAGAAATATTTTCAAATTGAAAAATTTATTAATTAACATTAACTATAGCAGCCAAAGTGACCAATTGACCTCGTTATTGCGAAGTAATAGTACCAACTTGCTTCACACCCTTCTGACAACAATTCTGCTTGAACGATGTACCGTAGTAATTAATTTCTGTTTTGTTGATGTTGTAGATAGCCTCTGGTCCAAACTTGTAACGTTCAGAAACTGCTGACAGTTTATCAAAAAATGGGATAAATTCCAAATTTACCCAACTGGTTCAACCCACTCGTGGTTCAACAAGCTCCGGTCTCCCCTAATGTTTGTGATAGAGCAGTTGAATTGAATCAATTATAAATGTTTCGGAATCATTCAATCATCCTACGATCCCCTTTAATTCCTTAAAGATTCGTCGAGTTCGACGACGTCTACTTATGCATATAATTTGATCGCATGTTTGACTAATTTTAAAAAACATTCCGAATGCGTGATAGATCCTACGTGAGCAATATTTGTATGCGCCATGCAAAATGGAGTTTAGCAATAACGACTCAAAGATGAATAGTTTTTGGAAATCGGCAATCATAACATTCTAATCAATTTGTCAGTCACGATGATGAAATTTTTAAACTATAATGTTTGTAATTATGTCAATGCTAACAAATTTTTCATAGTTTGAATTGCCAACAGATTCGAAAAGTTATTCCAAAAGGCAATGTCTCAATCCAGAAATCTGATGAAAAAAAGAGCCGTACGAAATTAAGCAAAACCTCTCAAAGCAGTGTAAATTTTTTCTCAGATGGATATATCAACTATTTAAAGACGTTTTAGATTAAATTAAAGCTAAGCCTTGTTGTGATTATTTAAAGTTCAAAATTTCATTTTTGTCCCTTGTGTGTTCGACAACTTTGGGCATTATCTTACCAAATAATCCTCACGCAGACGTTGCTTAAGGCGAAGGAACTTCAGATTGAGAGTATTAGCATAAAAACTGATTACGAACTCGTTCAAGGTTCAATTATTTTTAACCTTACAACCATTTTAATTTCTTGATGACTCTAGTGTAATAAAGTAATTGACAACAAATTATTCTTAAATATTGTTATTAATTCAATATTATAAAAACAACATCATAAATCATTTATTTAAGTTTCAGTTAACGATTCAGTCACAATAATTATTAAAATAAAATGACAAAACAGGCTTCGTGGTCCCACTGACTTCTCTGTTGATGGGACAGAGACAGTTGAACTTGCTCATCACTAAGAACATGCGAGTGAAAACTAAACCAGCCGTACAAGCAGGAGAGTTGAAAAGTTCTGAAGAGGTTTTCATTTTGAATACTTTACTCAAAACTTTTCAAAATCTAAATAAAAATCACAACAGTATTTTTTATATTACTACCAGGCAAAGAAAAGTAGACAAAATAAGAAAAAGAAAAGCAGGACAGGTTATTGAATTTCAAGCTGTAGTACGTTTCTTCATCTGTCTCACGTTAATTTTTTTACATGAAATGATTGGTTTGATTTATTTATGTAGAGTTTTTAATTATTTTTACGATCAGAACTTAATTAAACATGTAACTAAAATCCAATGACTCTGCGATGAATGACAAAGTTATCGAATGTAACGATCGATTAATTTTACAGAGCTGAAAGATGATTCGAACACGGACGTGCTTTCGCCGACGAAAGATGAATTTGTCGATCAAACTCTAGAATTAGAATTAAGTATTCAGATTGCTGACAATTACTGATCATTGTTTCTAACAGAAAGTTGACATTGACAAACATACATAGGTGGCAGCACGTTTTCAAGCTGTGGCAATATTTTGTTCATTTGAGAACCTATACAATATTCGTGTGTGCCAAATTTTTTAAATTCTAATATTTTGAATTAATCATTTGACAAAGTTTATTTTTTATAAATTTATCATCAAATGCCAAATATTAAACAACAGATGTTTGAAATTTTTTAAAAAGTTTTTCATGATCCATATTGTTTGAAAAAAAAACTTTTACAAAAAAAAAACAAAAACCAAATTCATTATAAAATTAATTATCTCAACGTTTCTGTGACTGCAAACTTTTTATTCAAAGTTCAAACAACCTGCAAATAGCGTAGGACACAACGTAGACAAGAAGTCTGGACGAGTCATCAGAAAATCTAGAAGTGTCTTGCATTTTAATGGAACCATTACACGAAAGAAAATTCTTTGAATAAAGATTTCTTTTAAATAATTTATCATTCATCACAGTTTGTGATGAAAAAGAAATGAGGTGCACTCATAGAATAAATGAGATTTTACACGCTATTGTGCGCATATTTAAACGTTGGTCGATCGGCGTCGCGATGATATTTTCAAAACGTTTTTGCCGACGCTTTTTATCTGATGAAAACTATTATAAATATTTTTTTAATAATAATAATTAGTTGAAATAATGACCATTGCTATTGCAGCTGCTTCACAGACTACTTTTTAACGTTTTGTCTGGTCGAGCATTTTCGCAGGTTAAATTTCATTTTATTCGTTGGTAAAAATTTATAAAATATTATTTTTTGAAATTTTTTCTATTGTTAAAACAGAGATTAAGATATGAATAATGTATACTATACATAACTGCTTATACTTGTGTATGCGTGTGTGCGTGTGTGTTCATTCCTGTTTAAAATTTATAAACTAAACCATTTGATGCATGCATGTCCTTTGATAACATTTACAAATTTTTTACATACAAATAAAATTCTCATATTACCTGTTCGACGCCGGTGCGTTGAATGGGAGTACAGTTTGAACAAACATTCAACGGGCAATAAAAATCTGAAGCACCAGGCGTTCAATTCAATGTGGCCTTTATATTTATAAGGATTATTATTTTCGTTTAGGATGAATTATTGTGAATAAAAAATATAAATTTTACTCTATTTCCAGATATGGAAAACTTTTCAATTTCATTAATAATAATATCAGTCATCGTGAATTCATTTGTTTTGTCAACTTCACCTGATCCAGATCTAGCATCTGACGGTGATACAATTTCTTTCTTAATTTTAACTATTCATTTTTTCAAAAAATAAAAAAACACTAATTGTTTTGCAATAAATTTTTAACATTCGACATATTTTGAAAAAACTTATGTTTAACAAAACATCCTTGTCTGGTCTCATTCGACATTGGAAAATATGTTTCTTAATAATTTTATTGCATTCAGATTCTGTCGATGAATTGAAAAGCATCGTGGATTTCAACGAATTCGGTCCTTTGAGAAATTTCCAATCGCCCAATCACTTCTCCGGAGTGCAGAGTAAAAGGCCAGCCAAGCATTACGTGAGGTTCGGCAAAAGATACGACAACGAGCATCTGGAGAATGTTGAGGACCATGCTAATTCTGAAATTGCTCCAGATTTTTTTGATAAAAATTATTTGAGATATTTGCAAAAAACATTGAGAAGCAAGAAAAATTTTGTACGCTTTGGAAGAAAAGGCACTGTAGACGATGAATGGCAGCAGGAGCGTGACGGTAGTAGTAGCAGCAAAAATGACGAGGGCGACGTTGAGGCCGGTGGTCTTCACCCTGCGCCAGATAAAAAGGAATTTGTTCGGTTTGGTAGGTTTTCAAATGATTTAATAAGATTTGGTTGATATTGAAGAATAAAATTTAATAACGCTAAATTTTGATTTTTTTTTACGATCTGGTGTAAATATAAATAAGCGTAAATAAAAATAAACATGAATAAAATAAATATTTATCGCTTGCGTGTTGGTTTGAAAAATATATATTAATGTATACTGAAACAAAGATAACTCTTTTGGTTCATAATTTATTGAATAACGTTAATTACATTCTATGCAGAAAAAAAGTTTATCATAAAATGTTTTCATTTGTTTGAAAAACTGGCCGATTCAATGCTCGTCCCATCAAGCGTTTTACAGGTAGTAGAAAAAAATTCTCAAAAATAAAATTATAAAAATGGTAAAAGTTAAAATTTTATTAAATAAATGAGAAAACATCAACTAAATATAACAAATCCTTAAAAAATATATTTGTAGCATAGACTCAGAAAACAAGACATTGAACATTATTTATTTAACTGCACAGAAATCAGAAAATGCTATACAACATTTCAGATTTCTAAAAAGCAGCTCTATAATTACTGAAGTGAAACGTGTACCAGATAAACAAGTTAATCGGAATAATTAAACTGTCAGACCGTCTTTAACTGAAAGCGCCAACATTCTTAAAAGTTATAAAAACATTACTTTCAAATCTTCAAATACAAAACTGCCGAGAATACGAAGCAGTTCTGATCAATATAATCAAGATTCCCATGATAAAAATTGCATTCAACTGAAGGAAATCAAACATTTCAACTGAAAAAGCTTTTTTCAACGGAATGAAACATACTCACTCAAGGATATTCACGCAATTATAATATTTTAAACGTAACATATGTTATATTAAAAAAATTACATTTTTTTTAGCATATATATGTGAGGGCATGTGCTAGTGCTTGGGTGTTTATTAACTTTTTTATTGTTTCATCGCATGTTTAATGCATCTATAAAAACCGCGGCACGTTATTATCATTAGTGAGTAATTTGTTGTTTTGCTGTGTCGAAACAATGACGGAACGGCTACTGTTTGGTCGAAGGTTCGAACGCGATGAATGAATGAATTCATGGAGATGGAGACAAGCTCGTTTATCACCCTTCGTTAAACAAGAGCACCTGCCTCCGAACAAACTCCGACGATGATAGATTCACGCAAGCAGCGGCAACAGGCGATCTAAATAAACAGGTGTGCCGGTGTTCCAAATATAGTCATCATGAAAAATATTTTTTAAATTTTCTTGTTATTATTCATTGTAATTTTAATAAGACATATTTACTTTAATGACTGAAAATATAACTTTGAAATAGTTAGAACCTATGGATCAGAAACTATTTAAAACATTCTTTTCACAATTTTTTCTTATATATTTTTAGATTTTTTTTGATAAAAATTGTGTGGAAGTCATAGAAAGAGTATGAATAAAAGATCAGATGCTAATTCAATGTCAATCACAATGGTAGGCCTAAATTTCAAGAATGTATAAAGTCAAATTATTTTAGCTGTGAATGTGAAGGGATACATTACATTACACCAAGTCAAACACGCTGGAAGGGTTATGGATGTTTTCAGTGATGCGACCGACCAGTTCTATCGAAAAGAGGATCAGCGTGTGAAAAATAAATGCAGTGGCAGTAATGATAACTGTCTGATATAGTGATAAAAAAATGTACTGAATCTATTATTTCTCTTTTAACTTTTCTGATCAATTTGTCATTTAAAATTTGATCATTCCCAACAATTTTTGAAAGAATGCTATCAACTCTACTTCAATATTTGGGTTGTAAACTTTTTACTAACTCAACAAATTCTTCAAACAAGGTATCAAAATAAAAAAAGTGAAACTAGACATGAGTTGTTTCATGCCAACGTTAATTTTTTGTTTAACAATGTTTAACAAACAGAAAATTAACACTGTAGGGCTTTTTGTTCTATCACGCTTAATGTTCTATCATGCTTAAAATAAATGAAAATTTTGGTTTTGAACTCAAGAAACTTGACAATGATTTACGATCTACCATTCAAAAAATTAAACAGAAATCTAACCAACGGGGAACAAACTGTGATTTTCTTCAATAATATATATATATATGTTGGTAATAGACCATAATTTTTACAATATTCTATAAATTCTACCAAACATTCGGTAGAATTTATAGAATATATATATATATATATATATATATATATATATATATATATATTTATTTATTTACAATATTCTATAAATTCTACTGAATGTTTGGCGTTAACATGTTTGTAGTTAGCTTTGTATATTATCAACATATATATATATATATATATATATATATATATATATATATATATATATATATATATATATATATATATGCAGATTTCATTGAATATTTTTGCTCACTTAGCATTAATCCAACAATTCCATATCGTTGAGTGTATTTTTAAAAAGTTGATTTATGCTAAGTGGGCAAAAAATGTTCAATGAAATCTGTATAGCTGAAAACCTCGTTCCAATATATATATATATATATATATATATATATATATATATATATATATATATATATATATATATATATATATACATATATATATATATATATATCCCTTAACATACCGGGGGGGGTCC